GAAGCTCCCCATGGGGCCACGAAGCGTGTGAGAGGTTCGCCGAAATTGCGGATGGAACCGCGCGCAGGCGCTGCCACTGGAGCCTTGGGTGGAGCTCCCTGCGGGGCCACGAAACTTGTGAGCGGCGCACCGAACTGGCGGGTGGAACCGTATGCGGGCGTTGCCAGTGGGGCCTTCGGTGGAGCTCCCGATTGGGCCACGAGGCGTGTGAGGGGTGCACCGACATCGAGGGAGGAACTGCAGGCGGGCGCTGCCACTTCGGCCTTCGGTGGAGCTGTATGGGGCCACGAGGGTGCACCGACATGGGGACGGAACCACATGCGGGCGCTGCCATGGGGCCTTCGGTGGAGCTCCCTATGGGGCCACAGAAGGTGTGATGGGTGCACCGACATGGAGGGTGGAACTGCATGTGGGCGCTGCCACTCGGGCCTTCGATGGATCTCCCCGTGGGGCCACGACGCGCGTGAAGGGTGTGCCAAATAGCGGGTGGAACCGCACGCGGGCGCTGCCAGTGGGGCCTTGGGTGGAGCTCCCTGTGGGGCCACGAAACGTGTGAGGGGTGCACCGACATGGAGGGTGGAACCGCAGGCGGGCGCTGCCAGTAGAGCCTTCGGTGGAACTCCCCGAGGGGCCACGAAACTTGTGAGCGGTGCACCGAAATAGGGATGGAACTGCACACGGGCGCTTCTCCTGGGGCCTTCGGTGGAGCTCCCTGGGGGGCCACGAAATGTGCGAGGGGTACACCGGAGAAGAGGGTGCAACTGCAGGCGGGCGCTGCCACTGGAAACTTCGGCGGAGCTCCCTGTGGGGCCACGAAGCGTGTGAGAGGCGTGCCGGAACGGGGGTGGAAACGCATGAGGGCGTTGCCATTGGGGCCTTCGGCGGAGAGTCCTATGGGGTCACACAATGTGTGAGGGTTGTGCTGAAACAGAGACGTGCGGAGGATCAAGGCAGGGATGGGATGGGAGGAGGCGGAGAGGAGGAAGGGGGTAGCGGGAGAAGGAGGAAGGACGCGGGGCGCTATCTCTTCAAAACGAGGAAACGAATACCCGACACCACAGGTCGAACGTCTTGTTTTTCGTTCATTCCTGGGCGACAGCGGCCGTTGCTAGAGGGGGGGGCCGAGATATCCTCGTGTGTCAATTTTTTCGAACCAGGCGTTTTCGCCTAGAATCGTGCCCTGGGGCCCTCACAGAGCGATTCGGCTAGAGAAATGGCGCAGAAAGACGGTGCCTAGGGCTCCAGTCGTGATTTCTACGATGTCTAATTTTCTTCGAGACTTCGGATCTCAGGTGAGGAGGGGGGAGCCAGGAGGCGGGCAACGTCACGATTCGGCCGGCGCCGTTTGGGAATCAGCTACCCCTGGCAGTTCTCAAACGGCGCCGGAGCGAACCGTGATGTTACCGGGTGGGGTGGAGGGGGGCAGCATCCCGGGTAACGGCCGTCAACGCGAGTCGTAATACCATGCGCTCTAGGCCCCGTGCCCATTCTGCCCATCCTCGGTTGGGATCTCCTGCCCGTCCTCCGCAGCCAGGACGTGCAGCGGGCTGGCTTGGGGCGCCTAGCTCCTTTGGCAGGCACGATGTGAGCACCTGCCGGGCCGCGAAGGCGCGCCCCTGGACGCTCTCCCCGCCCGGGCGCCCCCGCAGCCGCTCTGCCCGCCCTACCCTGCGACCCGGGGGCTCTCTCGCAGCACCGCGGGCGGCGGCGCCGCACAGCGCGCCCGGTCGCGGCGGCGCGCCGGCTCTGTTTGGGGCGCCGGTGGGCCGCGGGCGGCGGCCCTGCGCGGCGCAGCCTCGAGCGCGCGGCGGCTTCCCTCTGCGCCGTGTTCCCGCGCCCTTCTCGCCAGGCTTCGCTCTCAGCGTGCGGCGCCTTCTGCCTCTCGCCCCCCCCCCCCCCCATCGGCTCGCCGCCCGCCCCCCCCCCTCCTCTGCGGCCACGCCAGCTCGCTTCCACTCCGACCGACGACCTCTTCGGGCGGCGGCGCCCCTGCTGTCGACTGTGGGCTTTGCACGTGTGGGTCGTGTCTTGGTTGTTTTTTTTGTGCGACCGCATGCCGTCCGAGCGCTGGACCGACTCGCAGCACACCGTGTGCTCAGCACACCCCCTGGTGCGCCCAGTGCGGCCCACTTCTGCCACGATCGCCTGCGGGTTCGCCCGTCCGCGCGCGGACCCACTCGCCCCATTGGCAGACCAACATTACTTCGAGGACTGCCTCCGTGCATAGGGTGACCTCTGCGCTGTCCTGCTCTTTGGCTACGAGCGCGCTTTTCACTGCGGGTTCCGCCCTACCGCAATCCGATCCATCGCTGCCGCTGGTCTCCCCCCCACTCCCTCGCTTGGGCGCGGTCTGGTCTGGTCGCGTCGCCCTCGCGGGCGAGCTTTGTCGTTTCCGATCTCCGAGCTCCCCCCGCAAGGACTGGTCGCCGACAAGAGGAGGGGAACTCGGGGATGATTACCCCGAAGTGGCTATTCGGACGTGCCCCCTGTCGAGGACTCGTGCCCTCCCCCCCCATTGTGCATCACCGAGTTGGGTCCTTTGCCCGTTCCATCAGGCATCGTGACTCGGGCCGTCGGAAGTCCCGCCAGTCGAGGACTGGGTCGTCGGGCCCGCGAGGCCACCGGCAGGGCGGCGAAAAGAGCCAGAGGCAGGAAAGGTTCGCCGGGGGGGAAGCGGGCCCGGTGGGAAGCGGATCTTGAGGCGTTGCTCTGGTTTCGGGAACACCGGGCCCTCCAGGGTCCCCAGGCCTGTCAGAGAACGGCTCAGGATGAAGATCTCGTCTTGTGGGAGGGGCCCAGGGTCCAGGACCCGTTTCCCTCGGGACCCGCTTCCACCATATTCCAGATCCTGGTACCTTTTGCTCCTCCCGGAAAGCTTTCGTCACAATGGCTGGCCAGAATCTGCTCGAAATGCTCCCTGAGGTCCGACGTCTCGGGAACATGAGACACCGTGCAAAATCACGACCGGAGACCTACGCCCCCATCTGTCTGCACGATTTCCCGAGCAGGGTCGATCTGTGAGGGCCCTGGGGCCCGAGTCTGGGAGGAGACGCCCGGCTCGACGACAATCGAAGCGTCAGGATCTCAGGGTGGAATCTCGAGGGAACGCTAACATGCATCAAGGCGTGTGCGTTAGCGACAGGTTCCGTTTCCATGCGAAATCGGCGCGCGGTGTCGCCGAAGTGGGCTGCACTGGCCTCCTGTGTCGGGGAAGGCGTGCGCCCAAGAATGTTAGCGTGCACCGCCCCCTCCTCGTAACGAACGCTATTCGTGGGCGAGAAAGCCAATCCGACCCCCACAAATGGCGTTGACATACGAAGCGGCCTGGGGCGTTGACTGAACTGCCCTGCCCTGATCGATTCCCTCTTTAGCTTGTCGGGGTGCTTGTTATGAGGGTGGTCTTTCTGCTTTCTAGTTGCGGGATGAAATGCAAGGAAACAGCCTCGCGCCAGATCCACGGATCCCCGATCCATGCCGGCGTGCGCTCGAGCACCTCTTCGGGGTGCTTGCCAGGACGCGCCCCCGGCAGAGGCCTGGGCAGCCGCAGCTCTCTCGGTGCAAAGGCCGCGCTGGGCGGCTCCGGCAAGAGAGCCGCCCGCCCCTATGGGCCGCTCCATGCTCGCTCCATGGGGAGCGCAGGGGTCCTTCCTGCTCTTCTCCTCGCCGCTGGACTGTTGCTGTCTCCTCCTCCCCTGAGATCCTGGCGACTCCATTTTTTTCAGCCGGACGTTTTCGCTTGGTCTCGGCCCCCGAGGCCCTCACCGATCGACCCGGCTCGAGAAATGGCGCAGAACAATGGGGCCTGGGGCTCTGGTGGTGATTTTGCACAGTTTACACGTCGGATTTCAGTGGGCCTGTGGGCTCAGAGGGGAAAAAGGTACCGGTACGGCTGCCCGTCCTGCGTTTTCGCCTTCTTGGGCCTCGGGGGAGGCCCTCGTTGCCACGGCTGGATTCGCCTCAGAATTCTGGTCAGGACGCGCCCCGAAGACGCGCCCCGGGAGAGGTCTGGGGATTAGCTGTATTAGTGCCTTCTGATTTCCCCACTCGGTCCGATTCGATGTCTACTTCGGTATGCCCGATCGAACTCGGATATTCCGACGACCTGGTGCGGCCCGATGCTCGGATGGCGCTGCAGCGCATCTTGGCGTGGCCGATCCGACTCGAATCCACCTCCGTGCCGATGTGGCCCAATCCGACCCAAACTCCGATCTGACCCGATCTCCCGATCCGATGCTGACTGACCTGTCCTGGGGCGAGTGTTTCAGTGCGTGGCCCCTTGAGCACTCGACCCCCTTCCCAGGGTCTATTCTTTCGTCCCAGATCCGTGTATGTACGGTGCCGAAGCGCAAGAGAGGGCCGTCGGACGTGGAAAAGTTGAGGAAGCGCGCTGGCACTGGACGATACAGTTCACGACGTCGGAGTCCTGACTCCTCACAAGTCGGCCCCTGCATTTCCAGTTAGGAGGCAAATCCTGGGAGGTTGAATTCAGCATCAGGGCTGGCATAATTAATCCCCGCTCATCCAGTTCAATCCGGCTTGATCCCGGGCTCACTGGTTTAATACGACCAATTGATCTCTCAATCTGGTCTTCCAGCCCCCGCTCGGTCTTACAAAGACCTTTTAACAGCTGGTTCTTAGCTCCAGAGGTCGGGCGAAAATCATAAACATATCCGCGGCCTCGCGGGCCAGGCCCCCGAGGATACTGTGCGTTTTTTTCGCGGATGCCCCGAGCGCAACGCATCCGTGCGACCGCGAATCCGCGGGGTCACGCCCCGGACTCCAGACCGCGAGGGTGGGGATATTGGTATGGTTTGGCCACATGGTTTGGCCTGGACCCCATCTTTCTGCGCCATCTTACGAGCCGGATTGATCTGTGATATCCCTGGGGCACGAAACTGGGCGAAAGCCTCTGGCTTGAAAAAAGTTTGAGTCGTCAGGATCTCGGGGGGGGGACGCGCGTCAGTTCCACGACCTCATGGAGCTGTTCCGCATCGGCGGCTTCCCGCCGGACACGAACTACCTCTTCCTGGGGGACCCGGGGCGGCCGCGCGGGGCCCATGGGTGCGTTCGCCTGCCCCTGGGCCGCTCCATGCTCGCTCCAGGGGGAGCGGAGGGGTCCTTCCTGCTCTTCTCCTCGCCGCTGGACTGTTGCTGTCTCCTCCTCCCCTGAGATCCTGGCGACTCCATTTTTTCCAGCCGGACGTTTTCGCTTAGTTTCGGTCCCCGAGGCCCTCACCGATCGACCCGGCTTGATGGGGTCTAGGTCTTCGGTCGTGATCTGTCACGATGTTTTTTTTTGTTCGAGACGTCGGATCGCAGGGTCCTCCCAGCCCCATGTCCCCCTCCTGCTTCTCTCTCACCTCTCTTCTCCCTCTCGCCGTCCCTGATATTTCTTCTCAGTTTTCCCTCTTCTTCCCCTCATCATACTACCCTCCCACTTAGCTGTCCTTCCGCTTGCCCTTTCCCCTTTCCCCACTTCTCCACCTTCTCTACCTCACAAGGTTTCTCGCTTTCCAATGTTCATGATCATTTCCCTCCTCTTGGGTTCAATCGCCCCTGCGCAACATTGAAACGCATACATCGAGAAGTGGAATCTCACTTCCTTCCCCCATTATCATCATACTTCTTCTTATCGTAATCCTTCTTCCCCCCCTCCTGCTTCCGCCCACGCTTCGTGTGCCCCGCTCCTGCCATGGCTGCTGCTGATGTACTTTCATTCTCACGTGGTTCCTCTCGTCCTCCGTCTCATCTCTGCACATTGTGCTCAGCCAATGGCTCCAATATCTCCTTCGTCGTATATATTGCCTCTGCTTCTTATCGTCCTTATTCTGCTTAATGTTCTGCCTCATCCTCCCTTGTCCATCCCTGCTTGCGTACTCACTGCTCCCACTTTTGTCCTCCTCACCCCTCCTGTCCTCCTCACCCTCATCATGCTTTTCCGCCCGATGCTTCTCCCCACCTGCTATTCTCCTCGCTATTCTCCTCGTCCTCATTTTCCTGCTCTTCCTATTCCATCTCTGTGCGGCAGCTGCTTCTGCCCCTGCCGCTGCGGTAGTTGCTGCTCCTCCCTCTACGCAGCCACTGAGAGGCTCGGCAACAGTTTCGGAGCTTGCGTCACATTAACTTCCGTACGTAACTACGGTAAGTTCCATGGTAACCCATGGCGCCCTTTGCCCTGGCCACGGGGCGGCCACGGGGCGGCAACGTGAAACCTCGCTGGACCCACCCGGCGCACGAGGCGGCCACGAAGCGGCCACGGGCGGCAACATAATTATGGCGAAACCTCGCCGGACCCATCCAGCTTACGAGGCGGCCACGGCGGCAATACAACTATGACGAAACCTCGCCTGACCCATCCAGCTTACGAGGCGGCCACGGGCGGTAATGTGGCAAAACCTCGCCATACCCATGTGGCGATCCTCGCCAGGCACTCCCAGCGCACGAGGCGGCAACGTGGCGAAACCTCGCCAGTCCCACCCAGCGCTCGAGGCGGCCACGAGGCGACCACGGACGGCAACGTGGCGACACCTCGCCAGACGAGCTCAATTCCCCACTGACATACGTGAGTAAGAACCCCAAGGTGCAAGCGCTGTTTGGATAATCTATGCGACCTCCGAAACCCAGCCACCCAAATCCTCCTCCTGATCCGTCCTGTTTGTTCGTCGCGGCCACGTGGCGGCCACACGGCGGCAACCAGCGGCAACGTGGCGGATCCTCGAGAGAGCCACAGCGCACGAGGTGGCAACGAGGCGGCAAGGAGGCAGTAACGGGCGGTAGCTGGCGGCAACATCGCGGCAGCGACTCATCATTGCATTGTGGAGGTGGAAGCTATGCAGTGTAAGCTAAGTGATGCAAGCTACGCCGTGTAAACGATGTAGTGTGAGCTATGAGAGTGCAAACTTTGCGCTATTTTGTGCAAGCTATGCGGTGCAAGCTATGTTGTGTAAGCCACAAGAGGCGGCCACGGGCGGCGACGCGGCGAAACTTCGAGATGTGTGGTGCAGTAAATGTGGTGCAAGGTAGAGGCGGCCACGGGCGGCAACGTGGCGAAATCTCGCCAGACTCGCCCAGCTTACGGGGCGGCCACGAAGTGGCCGCGTGCGGACGAGGCGGCGACGAGGTGGCCACTGGCGGCAACACGGCAAACACCCTCAGAACACTTCCGGGACACAAGGCGTCCACGAGGCGGCCAAGGGCGGCACCGTGGGAATTCTTCGACGCACCAAGCCAATTCCTGAGTAAGTTTTAAGTTGTTGCGTTGTGGATGCGTATGCTGTGTGGCGCAAGCTATGTGGTGTGAGCCATGTGGTGCAATCTGCGTGGTACAAGCTACGTGTTCTGTGGGATGTGGTGCAATCTGGGAGGTGCAAGCAGTATGTTGCAAGCTACGTGATGTAAGCTCCGTGGTGTAGTCTACGTGGTGCCCGCTTTTCTGGGCCAAGCCACACGGTGCAAGATATGCGATGCAAGCTACGCTGGGCGGCCACGGCCAGCCGCGGGGCGGCTACGGGCGGCAGCCACGGGCGACCACGGTGCGGCCACGGGGCGGCCAGACAAATTCGTGGGTTACCCACCCAATTCTTCAGCACAACAAGCAAGAGAATACTCGAGTGCAAGCACTGTTTGGGGAATGATGCTGCTTGCTCCGCGGCCGTTTGGGTTCAACATGTTACGTGCTACCACTGGGGCATCTTGTGCGCGCTTCCCTGTGCCATACTGCTTGCTTTCAACGCGCAGTCGCGGTACCTTCTCTCGCCGATATGCAAGAACAGCGGGGGCACGATCCCGACATGCTTTGAATTGTCTCAGCTTCCTTGCTCCAATCTGCGGTGCTCCGTTTCATTCGAGTGCGGTTATTGCCCTAAATTGTCCTGGTGGAGCGCACTCGGCCGGACTCGTGTCTGCGGCCTTCTGGCGAGCTTCATTTACGAGTCACGACAGTGCCCTTGGCAACTTGAAAATCAATGCGCGCCCGTTGATCGCCACCCACCAAACCACCCCAACCCAACCCGAAGGCTCAGATTTACCCTCGATTTCTAGTGGGGGGGGGGGTCGGGAAACATCGAAAAAACACGCGTGGAACCCTTACCCCCCCCAACCCGAAATTCGGGTCTTCGGGTTGGGTTGGGGTGGTCTGGTAGGTAGTCAGTTGAGAATGCTCACAGAACCGGAGCGCTTCCCGGAGCGCCGCCGCGAAGAAGGGCTCACTTGGAGAGACGCGCGAGCCCGCCGGGGGCAGAGCGGAGAAGCGGCCGCCTGTCTCCTCGTAAGCCTCGAGGCGGAGGAAGGAGGGTCGAGGGTCGAGGTTGCCAGACGTTTTTTGGCTGTTCTGGGCGGATCTGGGCGGGCGTTCTGGGTCCCTCAGCGTCCGAGTATCAACGCATATCTGCGTGCGTATATATACATATATATATACATGTTTATAGATATAGATACGTTTATATATATGCATATACATAAAGACGTGTCCAAAACAGTGTGTTTGCACTTGGGGGTTCTGACTTCTGTTCTAAAGAGCTGGGCCTGATTGTCGGTCGGCCGGCTTGTGGCCGCCAGTTGCCGCCCGTCGCTGCCGTCCTTGATCATGATTGTGCGAGGCTCATTTTTGCACTGTTTTTCATTGCTTTGCATTACTCCACAATCGTTTTCATCGTATTGCGTTGGTTTGCATTGCTTTGCATTGATGTGCAGCCCTTTGCGTTGCATTGCTCGGCGTTGCTTTGCATTGTTTTGCATAATATGGATTGCACCACATGGGTTGCACCATCTAGTTTGCACCTTATGTGTTGTAAGACATCAATGTTTGGGATCCACGCTGCATTACATATTTGAATATCATATACTTACGTCCATCAATTGATCACATCGGTTTTTCGGCACTCAACACGTATATCCCAAATTCTCGGTACCCGTCCTCGTTGTTTTCGATCGTACCCCCTTGGGGGTGTGTTTTCCTCAACTGCCACGCGCATGTAGCGCAGTCCCTAACAGAGGACGGATGGAAGGGGGATGGAGGATGATGGAGCACGAGAGGGAGTAGCAGGAGGGGGCTAGGAGCAGAAAGCACGTGGCAGAACCAGACGGGCAGGTCGGGCGGGCAGACCCCAGCGGGCGGGTCGGGAAGCGAACCCAAATGCGGCCAGGTCGAGAGGGCGGGTTGCGGAAGCGTGAGTCCTGATTGCATCGCGGGGAAGTTTCGAGCGATCGCGATATTTCCTACTAAATCGTGAGACAGGCCAAAGCGAGAGCGTGGTTCCTGAATGTCGAGAGCGTTGCGTTTGAATCCAGTGCGAGGAAGTCCCACGCTCGAGTGCGATTCCTGCATCCACTGTGAGACAGTCCGGCGCGAGAGCCGGATTTTGCAATACATTGTGAGCAAGTCGCATGCGGGAGCCGTTGTTGTTGTTGTTGCCGTTGCTGTTGCTGTTGCTGTTGCTGTTGTTGTTGTTGTTGTTGTTGTTGTTGTTGTTGTGGTTGTGGTTGTGGTTGTGGTTGTGGTTGTTGTTGTTGTTGGCGTTGGTGTTGTTGTTGTTGTTGTTGTTGTTGTTGTTGTTGTTGTTGTTGTTGTTGAACATTATTAATTCTAAAGAATAATTATTGTTGGGACCCCTGGTGCACGGCCCCCCCGCCGCGCCTAGGCCGCAGCTACATTTTCATCATTTTTTCACGAAAGCTTCAGAAAAGTGGATGGGGTCCAGATCCGGTTGTTTTGTTGTAATCCGTTTTCCCTTGCAAAAAACACTATAAAATGACATTTCTTGTTCTAATATAATCAAATTTCAAGAATCCCTTGCAAAAAATAAGGTAAAGTGGACATTCGCGCGCGCAAGACGAAATCCTTCCAAAAGCTTAGTGTTCGGAGCGATTTTAACATAAAAACATCAAAAAACCAATGGTTTTTCAACAAAAAAATGTCAAAATCTCATCCCGCGCGCTCTTGCGGATTCGTAGGAAACCCAACACTTTTTAAACATTTCTGTCAAACGGGCTTTTGCGAGCAACTTTTTCGAACTTCTGCGACAACGGTTGCGCACCTGCCAGGGCCATCATCCCTGTCAAATAATACCATGCGGGACACATTCGTTTTTTCTTCGCGCGCGCACGCCGTCGTCGTCGGCCGCGGGGCCCTGAATAGTAGCCACGGTCGTCCGCATGCCACGAAGTGAAGTGTCCGAACGTCATAGGGCGGGAAGCTGGGTGTGGGTGGTGGCGAAGAGTCGTTTGGAAATTTGGTAGAGCTTGAACCGGCCCCCCCACAAAGTGGGGGTATTGCCCGCCTCCTATGAAAACCCTGGCACTGGTGAGAACGGTGTGTCCCCACGTGCTAGTAATTGTTGTTGTTGTTGTTGTTGTTGTTGTTGTTGAGCTCACACTACTGAATAATAACTATTGTTGATCCCACCCTCCGGTGCACATTGTATTTTTCAATTGAAGTGCCCCTCCCGGCGCTCGCACCCTTTTTGTATCAGGGAAAGTCATCCTCCTCAAACTATGACCATGGCCCCCGGGTTACAACTACAACGGCTCCCGCCTGATATTTCCTCACAATTTATCCAGGACCCCCGTTCCCGCCTGATATTTCTTCGCATTGTATTGAGGAATCGCGCTCTCGCCTGGGACTTCCTTACACTTTATCATGTAATCGCTCTTTCGGCGCTCTGGAGTCGCGCTCTCGCTGGAGACTTGCTTTCAATTTTCTTAAAAATAGCGCCCTTGCGTTGGATTTCCCGCAATTTACTCAAGCGCCGCGCTCCCGACACTCAGGTACCAAGGAGTCGCGCTCACGCTTAGGACTCCCTCACAGATTATTTAGGAAGCGGGATCCCGCTGCCCTTCGTGGCCCCGTTGCAGCCCTTCGTGGCCCCCTCGCTGCCCTTCGTGGCCCCGTTGCAGCCCTTCGTGGCCCCCTCGCTGCCCTTCGTGGCCCCGTTGCAGCCCTTCGTGGTCCCCTTGCTGCCCTTCGTGGCCCCGTTGCAGCCCTTCTTGGCCCCCTCGCTGCCCTTCGTGGCCCCGTTGCAGCCCTTCGTGGCCCCCTCGCTGCCCTTCGTTGCCCCGTTGCAGTCCTTCGTGGCCACCTGCCCTTCGTGGCCCCCCCTCGTGGCCCCCTCGCTGCCCTTCGTGGCCCCGTTGCAGCCCTTCGTGGCCCCCTTGCTGCCCTTTGTGGCCCCCTCGCTGCCCTTCGTGGCTCCCTCGCTGCCCTTCGTGGCCCTGTTGCAGCCCTTCGTGGCCCCCTCGCTGCTCTTCGTGGCCCTATACATGTATGCCCTTCGTGGCCCCCGCTCGTTCGCGCCCGTCGTGGTCCCATATGCATGCCCTTCGTGGCCCCGCTGTCGCTCTTCGTGGCCCCGTTGCAGCCCTCAGTGGCCCCGTCCTTGCCCTCCGCGGCCCAATATACGCATGTCCTTCGTGGTCCCCGCTTGTTCGCGTCCGTCGGTGCCCCATGTGCATGCCCTTCGTGGCCCCGCTGTCGCCCTTTGTGGCCCCCTCGCTGTCCTACGTGGCCCAGTTGCTACCCTCAGTGGCCCCGTCGTTGCTTCCTGTGGCCACGCATTATCTGCCCTTCGTGGCCCCCTGCTCGTTCGCGTTCTTCGTGGCCCCGTACGCATTCCCTTCGTGTCCCCGCTACCGCCCTTCGTGGCCTACTTCGTGCCCTTCGTGGCCCTGCTGTCGTTATCGCTGTGGCGTTCGCTCGTCGTCTTCGCCGTCGTCGTCGTCGCCGTCGTTGTCGTCGACGTCGTCGTCGTCGTCGTGGTCGGTCCCCTGTCTGTCCATCTCGGGGTCGGGCTGCCGCCGATCAGCGCTGCCGCTGGCCAGGCCGACGGTCCGATGCCGCCCCGCCGCTTGCCGGGCCCCGGCCTGCAAGAAAGAAAAGTGTACCCCTCAAAAGGGGCACGATAGAAGACGAAGAGGGCGGGTATCGAGGGTGTGGGAGATACGCCTTAACGGACACTCGAGCAGATAAGAGCGAACAGCCTTAAAATGACTGTTGTTGTTGTTGTTGTTGTTGTTGTTGTTGGTGTTGGTGTTGGTGTTGTTGTTGTAGTTCGGGGCCCAACAGCTCAATTTGATCAGGAAGCTCTTCCGTGACAGAAAACAGGGTGCGAGCCACGGAAAAACACAATGTGCATTGGTGATGGGAGATCAACCATAATCATCCTTCAAGAATGTGAATTCAACAACATTATCAGCAGCAGCTGCAGCAACAGCAGCAGCAGCAACAACCATCATTTTAAGTACGACGATTTGCTCCTTTCTGCTCGCGTGCGATTCAACACGTGTGTCCCAAACTCTCGATACCCGCTCTCCTTTTCCTAGATCGTACCCCCTTGGGTGTATGTTTGTCTTCCCTGCAGCGTGTATGTCGCGCAGCCACTAAAGCAGGGGAACAGAGGACGGATGGAAGGAAAAGGGAAAAGGATGGAGCACGAGAGAGATTAGCAGGAGGGGGGCTAGGAACAGAAATTGCGTGGCAGAGCCAGACGGGCAGATCGGGCGGGTAGACCCAGATGGGCAGCGGGCGGGTCGGGAAGGCAGGCCCAGGCGGCCGAGTCGAGTAGGCGGGTTGCTGAAGCGTGAACGTTACGTCAATCGCAAAGAAGTCCCGAACAGGAGCGCGATTCCCAAGTAAATCGCGAGAGTAACCAGAACGAGAGCGTGATTCCTGAGCGTCGAGGGCGCGGCGTCTGAATCCGCCGACCCCAGCTTGAAGGGTGTGAGAAGGCGTGTGAGATGATCGGCTGTCCCCCTCCCAATTTCCCCCCTCCCCCAAGGCTGAAAATTGTGTCTAGAGAGGGGGGGGGGTACCCGGGTTCGTCGGCGCACCCCGGAGACTTCGGAAGTTCCAAATCGCTTTCCGTCGCTTCTGCGACGCTCCAAGGCCAGTCCCGAATCGCGGAATGATTGGCCCAAGACGCTTACGATGGCTCCAAAACGCCCCAAGACGCCATCGATACCGAACAGGGCCGCCACAGGGAAATACTTTTGCCATAGTGGGCCTTCTCATCTAACCGAAAAGCGGGATTGCCGCAAGTTCAGAACACCAAATTATTTGAATTGCAGCGAGGGCAGACATTGAACAAGACAAGTAAAACACATTCTTGTGCGATCAGTGTTTTTGGAAATCTTCAGGGTTGACCTGGTTGGACTTCAAGCGCTAATCTGTCGCAGCCTCAACCAGCACACAACTTTGCTCAGTTTGCAAGCCCCCGTATTCATCAATTCCCCGCGACGGAAGTTTCGCCGCTGGGTTACGACATTCGTTTCGATGAGCCTTCGAGTTCCACGCGAACTTCCCAGGGGACACCTTTGAGGGCTTCCATCATTTTTTCTGTAGTTTCGAGCAAACGAACTAGTCTTTGGGCCCGCGCTCTGAAACAGTATTTTCGTGTTGTCTGTTTGTCCCCTGACGCTGGAGACGTGGAAGCCTGCTTCGCATACACTGGTGTCGGCGGATTCTTTTTTTGTTCGTGGGAAGATTTGGCCGCGAGGGCACAGATGGAAGTGCGTGCTCGCTGTTCCGCCTTTTGAGGACTTTGAGGGCGGTCTTAGCACGGTGCAGGAAGAGGAGGAGGAGGAGGAGGAGGAGGAGGAGGAGAAGAAGAAGAAGAAGAAGAAGAAGGAAGAGGAGAAGAAGAAGAAGGAGGAGGAGGAGGATAATAATGATAATAATAATGATGATAATGATAATGATAATAATAATACTAATGATGATGATCATAATATTCATAATAATAATAATCATGATAGTACTACTACTACTACTACTACTACTACTACTACTACTACTACTACTACTACTACTACTACTACTACTACTACTACTACTACCTACTACTACTACGACTACTACTACTACTACTACTACTACTACTACTACTACTACTACTACTACCTACTACACCTACTACTACTACTACTACTACTACTACTACTACTACTACTACTACTACTACTACTACTACTACTACTACTACTACTACTACTACTACTACTACTACTACTACTACTACTACTACTACTACTACTACTACTACTACTACTACTACTACTACTACTACTACTACCTACTACACCTATTACTACTACTACTACTACTACTACTACTACTACTACTACTACTACTACTACTACTACTACTACTACTACTACTACTACTACTACTACTACCACCTACTACCACCTACTACTACTACTACTACTAATAATAATAATAATAATAATAATAAGGAGGAGAAGGAGGAGGAGGAGGAGGAGGAGAGGGTGGAAACATAGTAGCCGGATATGTCGCATGACCTGCCTGGACGTTCGGGCCCGTGGGCTAGAATCGGCGCAGAGTCACCTATGGTAGTCGTGGACATGCATATTCGTATCCACCGCCTCGCAGGGCGGGCCCCTGGGCCGCGACCCCGTGGATGCGGGACGTTCTTCCGCGGCTGCCCCGCGCGGAGCGTATGCGTGCGACCGCGTCTCCGCCGGATCGCGCCCCCGGGGTCCAGGCCGCGAGGGCGTGGGTGTGGAAGCGTTCGCCTCGCGTGAGGCCGAGCACGGTCCGCACGCCTGTCCAGCCGGGGCAAGTCCGATCGCGAGGGCTGCCCGTGATCGGGCTTCAGGGACCGAGAGAGGCAGCGAGCGTTCGGCCGACCAGCGAGCTCTGTCTCCCAGCGGTGCCCCGCGTTTCGAAGGGAGCGGCCGACGCCGGAGCACCCGCGCCGTGCTTCTTTCATCGCTGGCCAGCGGGAGCATCCAGGTGAGCAGAATGCGGATGCCATGGGTTGCTCTCTGTGGGCTTGAACCCACATGTGCGTCGGGGGCAGATGGTGGCGCCCGGCAGCCTGATGTATTGTCGTCAGGCGAGGCGCTTCCAACAGGGCTTCGCCTTAAAGGGTCGAAAGAGTTGACGCCTCTTCCTCGGCGGAAGGCCATCGGAACGCGACGGAAGTAAAACGGGGGTGGCTTGGCCGGCGGAAGCGGACGAAAGCTCAGTGGAAGGCGGCGGAAGCAAAGGCCCCCCCCCTTAGGGGACGGCACGTCTTTTGGCTCCATGGCTTCCGGAACCAGCCATCTGTTGCAAGGCAATTCTCCCCCTCTTCCGTTTACCTTCTGATCGTACGCTCTGCGGCAGTTTGGTTCGTTCCAGGCCCGGCGCCTGCGAGCCAGCTCGCTACACTCCCTTTTCATTTTACTTCCCCCAGCATGGGGCGCAGTGGTGCGATGCTGCCCGTGGCACTGGCTGCGCTGAGCGGCTGCGTGCTCCCGCGGTGCCTCGCACTCATGCTTGGGGCCGACTCGGAGCGGAAGGCGGAGAGCAGCTCGCTCGAGAGCGTCGAGCGAGGGGAGACGGCGCAGTTGACAAAGATGCCTCATGCACCACCAAGGGCAAAGCTGCTGTCCTGGTGGACGGAGGGGTCCAGGTCCGAGTGGCTGAGTCTATCCAGTTTCGCTGCCGCGCGAGGGAGCCGGGGCGCTCGGGCGGGCGCCGGGGGGGGGGGGGGGGGGCTGGGGTGGATGAGGTGAGGGGCCACGGACCCCGCCCTTGGAGGCGACGGAGCTCGCGCGCGCGGAACCCGGACGCGCGAAATTCGACCGCACAGACCTCGCAGGCACGGAATTCGCACGGCGCGGAGCTCGCACGACGCGGAACTCTCTCGCGCAAGATTCGTACGGAGCGAAATTCGCAGCTGACGGAACTCGCACGTGGCGGAACTCGTTCGGACGGAGCTCGCACTCGCGAAACTCGCACGGACAGATATCGCACGCGTAAATTTGCGCGCGGTCTGAAGCTTCTCTGCGTTCGCGCGAGTTCCGTCCGCGCGAGTCTCGTCCGTGCGAGTTTCGTCCTCGCGAGCTCCGTCCGTGCGAGTTCCGCCCGTGCGAGTTCCGTCCGTGAGAGCTCCGTCCGTGCGAGCTCAGTCGGTGCGAGTTCCGTTCCGTGTGAGTTCTGTCCGTGCGGGTTCCGCCCGTGCGAGTTCCCCGTCATGCTTTGCCACTCAACGTTGGCGGGATGGAGGGACGGACGGAGTGCTGGCGAGGGAGGGAGGTGGCAGGTGCATGGACTTCTGGGTGCCCGCAGTCACGGCGGTGCTCACCGGCACCGTTCCATGCGGAGCGTCGTAGTGGCCGCCTGCACGCGACGCACGTTGTCTGTTGGTCTTTCCAATCTACACTTGCGTACCCGAAGCTCGCCCAGTATTCTCAGGGAACTTTGCTGGTGTTCGAGAGCAAATTCGAGGCTCGCAGGCTGTTCTCCTACAGGAAAGACGTGATACGGGCCCAACCTCCGCCACTCGATGCGCACTGCATGATGGGTGTGTGAGTTGCCGCTGGACGGGCGCTAGGCCCGCCTGTTAGGATCCGCCCGCCCGACCCGCCCGTGAGGGTCGTCGTCGCAATCGTCGTCCTCATCGTCGTCGTCGTCGTCGATGTTGCCTTCGTCGTCGTCATCGCCGTCGTTGGTGGTGGTCGTCGTCTTCGTCGTCGTCGTCGGCGGCGTTGACGTCGGCATTGTCGTCGCTGTCTTGGTCGTCGTCGCCGCCCTTGTGGATGTCGTGCTGAATGGATCGCGCACTACATTACAGTCCCGCCCACCCGAGAGGGTCCGCCCGCCCGGCCCGCCCAGTGGCGTATTGCCCGCCTGCGCGACCCGCCCGACCCGCCCGTCAGGGTCAGCCCACCCGACCCGCCCATTAGGGTCGTAATCGCCGTCATCGCCCTTGCCGTCGTCGACGTCATTGTCACCCTCGTCGTCGCCGTCATCCTTATCGGCGTTGTCGTCGCCGTCGTCGTTCTCGTCGTCGTCGCCCTCGACGTCGTCGTCGCCCTCGTGAATGTCCTGCTGGGTGAAGTGCGCAGTGCCTCAGTGTCCCGCTCGACACGACCCACCCGCCCGTTAGAGCCCGCCCGGCCGACCCGCTCGCCAGGGTCCACGCGCCTGACCCGCCTGCCCGACCAGCCCGTTAGGGTCCTCCCGCCCGACCCGCCAGTTAGGGTCGTCGTCGCCGCGGTCGCCCTCATCGTCGTCATCGAGTCTTCATTTCTGAAGCATGCTCGCCAGAAATTGTTCCAGGCGGCCTGGCTTCGACGCGGACTGCATTCTCTTTGAAAGCGACGCTCCCGCTCGAGCGCGGGCCTGCGCTCAAATCCGAGCCCCTGAAGGACGACAGTGGCTCCCGCTCGACTTTTCTTTTATAATTTACTTCGAGACGCCATGGCCAGGCAAGCCTAGTCAAGTTCGCAACGGCCCACCTACGACGAAAACGGCTGCGGCTCGACACTCCATCGCAATTGACGCCGGGACGCACTGGCCAGAGAGGCCCCGAAACTGAGGAACGGCGCTCTCGCCCAAGACAGGCGCTCTCCCAATTCAATTGAGTTGGTAAGTTGCCTTCTTCCCTACCCTCGCCCTTGCAGACAGCAGGTCGCGTGGCAGCACGGGGGCATCAGGTCAATGCTATCTTGTTTGAGGTCCAGACGGCTGTCGCGAATTGCGTTTCGTTTGTTGTTGCCCGGACTGGCCTTGTCGTGCCTACATGGCAGGTTTGTTTTGTTCTGGAGAACGACCTGCGGGAGAGGTACCAATTGTCGAAGGGGTAGGGCATGTAAAATCCCCCTCGCACCGCTGGTTCTTCCAAATTCATCATGAAAACGGCAGGCTTTCCCACAGTGGCAGGTCGCCGTGCTGCGTCACCCGTAGCGCCAGGTCGCCTTGGCGCGTCACCCGTAGCGGCGCCAGGTCGCCCTGACGCGTCGGCCCTGCTGTTGGAGGCGCGTGCGGGCGTCGGGGCGTCGACGAATGGGGCTATGGGAATGGCAATTTTCTCACCAATTGTTCGAGCCTCTCCAGCCATGGCGGCGTGAGCTGACCGTTCGCTTGTCAAAAAGCCTTGCCGTCAGCGGCCCCCTCCGCCTCGATTGAGGTATCTCAGATGATGGCCTCGAGGTTCGCCTCTAACGTTCCCGAGGTTTCCATGTCGGTGCCCGGTGCTAACGGCACCGCTTCGGCTGACAAGTTGTGGTGCTAGCGGCACCACTTCGGTTGATAACCTTTTGTTTGGAGTAGCTTCAGCCACTGGGCCAAAGTCCCCCCACCCTTTGGGTGGTTTTTTGGGCCCTGGCTCGCCTATGAAGGCGGCCAGGTTCCCACTCGTAATTTCGAGCTTACGTCCAACCGTGATGACGAGGACAGGCGAAAAGGGAGCAGTACAAACCGTTGGTGATAGCAGCAACAGCGGGAGGAGGAGGGAGAGCGCTCGCGGCCCGCCAAAACCCTTTCCGAATCCACCCCGCAGAACTGCTGCAGCGGTACTTCTCTCGTCCTCGGTTTTAGGGCGTGCGAGGGAAGGGAAAGAGAAGAGTGGGGGGAGGCCAAGACGGAGCAGGGGCGTCCAGAAACCGAGCGGGATTACCAGCAGAATGGAACACGCGCCGAATACGAGTGGTAAACTGCAGGATCTGATGACTAGTTGGACAAGGATGAACTGGAGGAGGGAGATGATGATGCTGATGAGGTTGATGATGGGCGGGATGAGGGGGTCGGGTGAACATACTGAGGATGAGGCTGAGCAGAAGAAGGAGGAGGGGATGATGATGATGCTGGTGATGATGATGTGAGAATGAGGATGATGATGATGATGATGCTGTTGAGGATGATGAATATGAATATGATACTAATGATGATGCTGATGATGATGATGATGATGATGATGATGATGATGATGATGATGATGGTGTTGCTGATGGTGCAGATGACGCTGGTGATGATGATGACGATGATGATAATGATAATGGTGACGATACTGATGCTGCAGCTGATGATGATGATGATGATGATGATGACGACGATGATAATGCTGATGATGATTATGATGATGACGATGAGGAGGAGGAGGACGGTGATGATGAGCAGGCTCAAGGTGAGGGGGAATATGAGGATGACGAGTAGTCTAGACTAGTGTGTTTTCTGGCTCCCCCTGGGTTGCTATGCGATGAGTGCGCCAAGGATTCCTCAGGATGTCCGAAGGATGTATCAAGGAATAGTTTAGAAGTTCCCAAGATTGCCCTAGGATCTCAACAGGATTCCTAAGGATTTCCTTCCTGGATTTCCTGCTGCGATGGTTCCTTCAGGATTTCCTTGGGATTCTTCGGGAATCCGAATGTCTATGCGGTCCTCGTCGTCGTTTTCGTCGTCGTCGTCCACGTCGTCGTCGTCGTCGTCGTCGTCGTTCTCGCCGTCGTCGTCGTTCTCGTCGTCGCCGTCGTCTGCGCGGCGGGCAGGCACGAGCGTGCGCGGGCGGGTGGGCGGGCGGGCGAGCGTGCGGGCGTGCGGGCGGCTGGCGGGCGCGCGGGCCGGCGGTCGCGCGGACGGGCGGGCGCACGGGCGCGCGGGCGAGCGGGTCGGCGGGCGGGCGGGGGCTTTCGCGGGAGGGCGGCAGGGCGGGCGCGCGGGTGGGCGGCTGGACGTCCGTCCGAGAAACCGACCGACCAACCAACCGAGCAACGGGCCAACCGTTCCGTCAACCGATTGACCAACGAACCCACCGGTCAATTAATTAATCAGCCAGCCATCCAACCGACCAGCCAACTAACCGACCAAATCCGACCGGCGGACCAAATATCCACCCAATCAACCAACCAACCAGCCGGCATTTTCTGAGGATGTTTCACATCATTCTGTAAATTTGGAGCACATTGTTTAAAACCTACCAGACTCCTGAATTGCTCTATGTCTTAAGCCCTTGTGCCCTTTCCAAGTCAATACCGTGCTTTTTCTGCCCTCGTCGGTCTTCTCGTCGGCACGGCCAGGCTCCCCCCTGGAATTCCAGTCAAGGCGCGCCCCGCGAGGGGTATTCGGTTTTTCATTTTGAAGGAGGATGCCACTTCTGGAGGGCCCTGGACGTCTCCAGAGGTCCCTGCAGGCAGCCAGAGGCCCCCGCGGAGGTTTTCACAGGTCCAAGTTGCAACAAAGAAACCACTTGTGTTCGAATCGGGCACAACTTCTGACTGGCGCCTTATTTAGTTCTTCTCTTCGTTGGCCCAGTCCATATCGATTACTTGCTGTAACGCGGTTCGCTGCGCGCCGGAGTGACCGTGCGAGTTCCGTTGCCCGTGCCATTTTCGCGCGAGCTCTGCTGCCCGAGCGGAACCCGCACGCGCGGAATTCGCACGCGCGGAACTCGCATGACGCGGAATTCGCACAGCGGAATCCGCACGGACGGAATTCTCAAGGACATGGTAGAATTCGCACGAACGGAATTCACACGAGGCGGAGTTCGCACACGCGCAACTCGCACACACACACACGCACACGTACACGCACACGCACACGCACACGCACACGCACACGCACACGCACACGCACACGCACACGCACACGCACACGCACACGCACACGCACACGCACACGCACACGCACACGCACACGCACACGCACACGCACACGCACACGCACACGCACACGCACACGCACACGCACACGCACACGCACACGCACACGCACACGCACACGCACACGCACACGCACACGCACACGCACACGCACACACACGCACACGCACACGCACACGCACACGCACACGCACACGCACACGCACACGCACACGCACACGCACACGCACACGCACACGCACACGCACACGCACACGCACACGCACACGCACACGCACACGCACACGCACACGCACACGCACACGCACACGCACACGCACACGCACACGCACACGCACACGCACACGCACACGCACACGCACACGCACACGCACACGCACACGCACACGCACACGCACACGCACACGCACACGCGCACACGCACACGCACGCGCACGCGCACGCGCACGCGAACGCGAACGCGCACGCGCACGCGCACGCACGCGCACGCGCACGCGCACGCGCACGCGCCCGCGCACGCGCACGCGCACGCGCACGCGCACGCGCACGCGCACGCGCACGCGCACGCGCACGCGCAGCGCACACGCGCACGCGCACGCGGCACGCGCGCGCACGCGCACGCGCACGCGCACGCGCCGCGCCCGCGCCCCGCGCCCCGCGCCCCGCGCCCGCGCCACACGCACACGACACGCCACAAGCACACGCACACGCACACACGCACCACGCACAGCACACGCACACGCACACGCACACGCACGCCAGGCACAGGCACAGGCGGCACGCGCACGGCGCACGCGCACGCGCACACGACACGCTACACACACGCACACGCACACGCACACCACACACAACACACACACACACACACGCACACACACGCACACACACACACACACGCACGCGCGCACGCGCACGCGCGCACACGCACACGCGCACACGCGCACACACGCACACGCGCACCGCGCACCGCGCACCGCGCACACGCGCACACGCGCACACGCGCACACGCGCACACGCGCACACGCGCACACGCGCACACGCGCTCACACGCGCACACGCGCGCACACGCGCACACGCGCACACGCGCACACGCGCACACGCGCACACGCGCACACGCGCACACGCACACGCGCACACGCGCACACGCGCACACGCACACACACGCACACGCGCACACGCACACACGCACACACGCACACACGCACACACGCACACACGCACACACGCACACACGCACACACGCACACACGCACACACGCACACACGCACACACGCACACACGCACACACGCACACACGCACACACGCACACACGCACACACGCACACACACGCACACACGCACACACGCACACACGCACACACGCACACACGCACACACACGGAACTCGCACGGACGGAATGCATGCGAGTTCCGTTGCGCGTGGATTCGGTGAGCGTGGTATCCCGTGTGCGAGTACCGCCTCGTGCGAGTTTCGTTCGTGCGATTTCCATCCGTGGCGGTTCCTCTTCGTGGGAGTTCCGTGCGTGCGAATTTTGCGCGGGCGAGTTCCGTCCCTACGAGTTCGGTCCCGTGCGAGTTCCGTTCCGTGCGAGTTCCGCACCGTGCGACTTCCCTTCGTGCGAGTTCCTCTCCGTGCGAGGCTTGTCCCTTTCTTTCCCGAGGATTTGTATTCGGGACCAGTTTCTGCCTGGAAGGTCAGCCACACGCACGGACTTGGTCGCACGAGTGAGCGCATCTTGGGCTGGGTGCGCCGGGGGGCTCTGATAGGTTCTGTTCCGCCGGAAAAAGACAGGGCCCGATGCACACCAACCGTTGCAAGCGCGGTGGCGGATACGACATCCAATTGGAGAAGGACGCGACAGCCATTGTCACACACGCAGGGAAGAACAATCAGGAATACATCGACCATGCCGTGATGCTTGGGGTCTCGCTGAAGCGCCACATGCCCGACTACCCCAGGATTGTTCTGGGGGTCAAGGGTATGACCGACGCTAACCAGGCGGTTCTGAAGGAGGCAGGCTGGCACGTCGTTCTGGTTGCAGACTGGAGGTTCCCTGATATCGAGTGCAGTGCAGGCAACAAATCTTGTATCGACTATTCGTTCATATTGCAGCAGCAGGATTCGATGGAAAGGCTCAATATTTTCAGGCTGCCAATCGGCCGTGTTCTTTACATGGATGCAGACACGTATGTAGCGAGCGGCGAGTTGAATTCCTTACTGAATGGGACCGACAAAGACCCCGTCCCAGAGGGGAACATCGGTATGGTCCCAAACGCGTGCAACAGACTGAAAATGCACGGTGTCACCGCTCCATACAGCGCTGGCGTCATGCTGTTCAAGCCGAACCTCGAGAAGTACCAGAGCATGCTGGTCAAAGTGGCGGGGGTCATGTCTGGCAATGTGACAGGGATGAGCGACGAGCAGATCATTAATGACGTTTGGGGGAAGCAGGCAACAGCGCTGGACAAGAAGTACAACTGCATGGACCCGTGGGACTTGCAGGCGGCTGACAAGTGCCAGAAACGATGCACAGAAGTGGTGGTGTCCCACTTCTTCGGCGGTCCGAAGCCGGCCATAGCGGACGAGAGGTTCTTAAGCTTTGTCCGTAAGCCTTCTGGTCCATTCGAGCAATGTTCCGCAATGAACCACGGCTCGTGCAACGCCTGGCAAAATTTCTATTGCGATTTGGTGGATAATGTGGGGATGTTGACGAGGCCTCTGCAGACGAACATAAAGCGCTTGGGTAGTTGTTGCCATTCGCCACCGCTCGAAAGTGACCCTGCTGACTGCCACTCGGTGCAGGAAGATTGCCCTGAAACGGTAAGTTTCAACAACATTTACAAGCTTAACCGCAGTGTGAACATGGAAAAGCAAGCCCCATGGTTCGGAAACTACACTAAAGTTACTACAGTGGTCAAGGGTAACAGTACTTTTGCTCCAGATCCATTCTTCCATGGAGGGCGGCCCATATATGCTGGCCCCAACGGGTATCACTTGTTCTACGCATTGGAGTCGAAATATTGGATGGTCGGAAAGAACGTTGCGGCGGCGCGTGCGAGAAGCGGCAAAGAGTTGGTTGGGAATTGGTTGCCAGAGTCCTACGCGTACGATTATCATATGCATACAAGATGTCCTGAGTACACCAAAAATTGGAAGACCGTCAGGGCCGGCTTCGAATATTTGAGCTCGAAGGACAGCACGATCCTTGTAACCAATCCCAACGCCGAGGTCGGTGCTCTTGGTAAGTTCTATTCAACGCCCATGGGAATGCCCCCCCATGGGAATGCCCCATTTCCCCCCGCCCAAGCCCAGACATCTTCTCCCGAGGAATGGACCGCTGCGGATTTGGGGCATTCGCTTTATCGAGTGGGCGGCCTTCGAGACCTTCCCTCCCCATTGCAGGTTCATAATTGCCAGGTGTGTTTGTTTGAAGGGGGCATTTGAAAGTAGGAGGCCCTCGCTCCCAGGTCGAAAGTTGGGGGTCGGCGGCCCTGTACAAGAAGCACAAGAAGTACGAGATCTTGGAGCGTAAGCACAAGAGGGCCAGGATGCGCAGGATGGCCCAGATGGAGGCGAGCCGGACCAGGGTAGACACGATCTTTCTGACCCCCTCCCTTGAACGAAGGATTGCAAAAAAACCCAGGATTGCAAAAAAACCCGAAGGATTGCAAAAACGAAGGATTGCAAAAAAAACCCTCGTTCAAAAACGAAGGGTTTTTTGCAATCCTTCGTTCGAAGCGTTTTTTTTGCAATCCTGCAATCCTTGGTTCCCCCCTCCCTCTCTTCCCCCTCCGACCTTCCGCCCATCAGCTCGCCTCTTCATCTCCCCTGCTTCCCTTGCACTCCTCGGGTCCCCCCTCCCCCCTCCCCATCTGGCCTGCAGGGCTGGGCTCTCTCGTTCGCCGTGTCGGCTCCAGCTTCGGCTTCGGATGGAGGAGGAGGAGGACGAGGCACGACCGGCGCGCACAGTCAGCGCCGCACGCCCAGTCGCGCTCCGCGGCCCGCGCCCGCCGTCGCGGCGTCCACGGGCCCCAGAGTCGGAGAAGCACGGTACCGATACGGGCTGTCCCTGGCCCAAGGTGCCCCTGGCCCAAGGTGCCCCTGGCCCAAGGTGCCTCTGTCTTTTCGGTCCGCTGTGGAGCTTCTGGGGCCCTCTCTGCCTCGTGAGGGCTGCTCTGGAGGCCGGCTGGCCCGCCCCCGATAAATGTTTCCTCCCCAGAGAGCGGCCCCTCGATCCTCGAACCTCGGAGCGCGTCGATCCACGATCTTCGAGGGCGTCGATCCACGATCTTCGACCCTCGATCCTCGAACCTCGGAGGGCGTCGAACCCCTCGAACCTCGGAGGGCGTCGAACCCCTCGATCCTCGAACGTTTTCCTCCCCAGAGAGCGGCCCCATCGGGCGTCGATCCTCGAGCCTCGGACGACGGCCGCGGCGTCGCCGTCGTCGTGAGGCCAGGGCCTGCCCGAGGCCCGTCCCCGGGCCGCCCCCCCCCCCCCCCACGCAGGGCACAACGTCACCGTTGGGTGGATGCTTTCTGGAGGGCCCCTCGCTCCTCCTCCCCCTCCTCCCCCTCCCCCTCCACCTCCCCCCTCCTCCTCCCCCTCCTCCTCCTCCTCCTCCTCCTCCTCCTCCTCCTCTTCCTCCTCCTCCTTCTCCTTCTCCTCCTCCTCCTCCTCCCTCCTCTCCTCCCCCCTCCTCCTCCTCTCCTCCTCCTCCTCCTCCTCCTCCTCCTCCTCCTCCTCCTCCTCCTCCTCCTCCAAGGATCGACTCGACGTAAGAGTGACCTCTCGCCGGAGTGACCTTTGGTGCGGGCACAGAAGGGTCCTCGGATGGCTGAAAACGAGGCGGTGGCGGCGGCTTGCGCGGTCAGGTTTGGTCTCCCCGCGGCCACCAAAAAGCCGCGAACCATTGGTAACTCTTGCCCAGGGTCGCTACTTGCGTGTAGCCGAAGGGAGAGCCCGCCGACCTCGGCAGGAGCACTTTGGATGTGGTTGTGGTCGAGTTGGTCGTCCGGGGCGCCCACCTCGACCACAGCCAGCTCCGAGCTGGCTTCGGCGTAATGACGACTTGGCATGCGCAGAACACCCCCCCAGGGTTCGTCCTCGATGTGATCGTGGTCGCTCGCTGTCCCCGCCGCAATCATGGCCAGGTTTGTCGAGCCGCGTCTGGCCGCGGTGGCGCCAGCCTATCATTCGGCCGCAGGCGGCCAGAGGCCTGCCGCGGTTGGTGCTGCGGCGGGCCGCGCGGGAGCCGAGTGGCGCCCGTGACCGCAAGTGGCTCGGGCGGAGAGGCGACCGCGGATGGCTTACCGTCGGGAGGGAGAGGAGTACGGTCGGGTGCTTTGGGTTGGCTCAGCGTGTCGCTCCGCTGCTTCTGGCCCACCACGCTTCGGCGAGACAGGATACCCACGTCGCGGTCCCCATGCGTCGACGTCCCGAGCCTTTGGGAGCCTCCCGCCCCGCGGAGCGGAGCGGCATGCTATCCGCTCGCAAGGCATAGCCTGTCGCCAGGGCCGCCGTGGCGACACGCTATCCAAAGATTCCCGACCGTGTCCACGACGCGCAGCCGTGGAGAGTCCGTCAGCGAGTCGCTCCTTTGCTTTCGTCCGCAGGCCTGGCGCTCCTTCAGCAGTGACAGGCTGATGGACTCCCCACGGCGGCGTGCCATGGATCCACTCTTCCTCTGCCCCGCCCCCACGACAGGAGGAGGGCGTGCGGCGCTCCTTCAGCAGTGACACGCCGATGGACTCCCCACGGCGGCGTGTCGTTGATCCCTTCTTCCTTTGCCCCTCCCCCACTCAGCGAGCGAAGAACGGTATAAGATAAACTTTCCGCCGTCGGGGACACCTGTCCCTGGGCGGCTGGAAAGTTTATACCCCTACGGTGCCACCGTAAGGGTATAAACTTTCCAGCCGCCCTGGGGCAGGCGCCCCCGACAGCGAAAAAGTTTATTTTATACCGTTCTTCGCCCGTTAACCCATGACAGGAGGAGGGGGTGCGACGACAAGCCACGGACGCAGCCGAGAACCTCGGAGACGAGGTCGTCGACACCGTCGCCATGCAGACGTCGCTGCACCTGGCGGCGACGACCGGGCACGACGAGGCGTCCGAGCCCCTTGCGCCTCCCCCCCCCCTCTGGCGAGGTCCTCCCGGTCTACCGGCCGGTGCCCGGGCAGGAGGGACTTGTCAACGGCACCGTAACCGGTATTTGCTAACGGGTACTTTGAATTTGTGCCGAAAGTTGCCATTTTAGGGCCTTTTTCTTGCATTGCAGCTTTGCCCACATCGGGAAGGGCTGGGTTCGCTGGGTCACTGGCCAAAGTACCCGTTAGTGGAGTCCCCGTTTGAGGGGCGCTGAACTTGGGGATCCCCAAGAACGGCGCGGGGACCACACCGAGTGGTGATTCTGTGGGTGTTCGCCACGGGGGCACGGGTCTTGAGGGAACCGTTCCCGAGGTTTTCCGCCGTTTTCGGGCCCTCCACGGGCCCTCCACGGGCCCCAGGACTGTCAGAACATGCTTCAGGACGAAGAACTGGTCTTGGGGGAAGGCCCTGGGGTCCAGGACCCGTTTCCTTCATGCTAAGGGGATTCGGGGTGACCGCGTTGGTTGGGATGTGGGTCGCTTTCCGGGGACGTCTCGGGCGATTGGGGCCTCCTGGATCTCCAAACTGTGCGGTGGCGGACCGTGCGGTGAGGTCTTTGAGGATTTCGAGATCACCGCGCGGTCTGTCACCGCACGGTTTTCGGACCTCCAAGTCTCGGCATCCCTAGCCAGTGCCGATCTGGAGGGTCGAAATGGGCACGGAAAGAAGGGTGACGAGGACTGGCAGCAGTTCTTGCCCGTGTTGAGCAGGGACCGCTGCTGGTGTCGCCGCGCACGTGGCCCACTTGAGACAAAACGTCGCCTGCCCAACAGCGGCCGCTGTATCATTCGCTGTTGGGCATCCTACGTCTGCTTCCCGTTTCCATCTCGGGCGTGCCAAGCGGCGCTTCTTGTCAGTGCCATGGGCTTGGCATCGCTCGGACGTATGCATTTTCTTTCGGCGAGGACCATCGAGGAGCCTCTCGGCACATCTCGCGAAACATCAGCGCACGGAACCCAAACATGCACGGGGATTGGACGCCCGAGCGATGGCAAGTGGGCGGGGGGTCACCACCTCGAGGAGGCGGGCCCCTCGGGACCCAGCAGGCCGCCCCAGAGCCTGCGAGACCGCCCAAGAGCATGCCGCGGGCCTCATCGATCATCGACCCTCGGCCTCGGGGGGAGCTGGCGACCCCCCCGGCGGGGATGCCCTCCTGGCACTGCCTGGCACGCCGCGCTCCAGCGGGCGGGACGGTCGTCGGGATTCCCCCGCGGAGGCTCTCGAGGAGAGGGCCTTCGCCCTCCCACGGCCTGCGCTTCCCCCCCCCGCCGCCCCGCCCCCTTGCGCGCGTCGCCAGCTTGTGGGGACAGCCCTTGGTGCCCAGGACACCAAGGGGGCAGTCGTTCCTCCACGCTCTAGAGAGAGCAGTAGTGTGAGGTTCGAGGGTAGAGGCTCGACGCCGGAGCTTTGAGGCTCGAGGACGCCAACGTGTTGTTCTTGCTTGCTTGCTTGCTTGCTTGCTTGCTTGCTTGCTTGCTTGCTTGCTTGCTTGCTTGCGTGTTGTTTTTTGTTTGGTTGTGTGTTTGTTTGTTTGTTTGTTTGTTTGTTTGTTTGTTTGTTTGTTTGTTTGTTTGTTTGTTTGTTTGTTTGTGCGTGTTCTTGTGCGTGCTTGTGTGTGTACACAGGTACGTGTGGGGGTCCGTTGGCGCGTGCGCGCGCGTGTGTTCTGAACCCTCGATGGGCTTGGAGGTGTTTGGGGACCCTCGCTGCGGTTCGGACAGGTGGGAGTGGGAAAGATGAGGTACGAAAATTGGTGCACGCAGCTGGCTTAGGCTTAACCGACCAGCACCTCGATACCCCAGAAAATCCAGAAACTATTCAATCAGAGCTGGAATCTTGGAAATTGGGTAGAAGTATTCGCGCCTCCCTAGTAGGGCGGGAGTGGGAAGCTCGAGGATCGAGGTTCGAGTCCCCTTGAACGTCCAGAGGATACCTCTGGGAGGCTTCCGTGCCGGCGGCGGCTTCTGGGGACCCCCCCGCCCAGCCTCGCGATGAAGATCACGGTGGGCGTTTTGCTAATTTCGGCGCCATGGGGGTTGTCTCACAGTGGAGCCGTCTGGGGGTCTGAGGTGGCCCAGCGTTGGCCCTTGCCAGCAGGAAGGGCGGGCAGGTTCGAGGGGTTGGGTTCGGGAAGGTGTTTTTGTTCCAACCATCCTGTGGTGTTGCGTCCTCGTTTTGTAGAGACAGCGCCCCGCGTCACCTCCCGCCCTTCTCCCCCTCCTTCCGCCTCCTCCCCCTCCTTGCCTCTGCCCTCATGTCTGTGTTTCGTCACGCCCATCACACGTTTCACGGCCCCATAGGGAGGGCGCTAGTGGGAGGGTTCGCATGGCACCATCGGCGCCCCCCTCACACGCTTCGTGGCCCCATAGGGAGCTCCACCTCAGGTTCCAGTGGGTGGGTTCGCATGGCACCACCGCCCCATTTCGGCACACCCCTCATATCTTTCGTGGACCCGTATGCCCAGCCAGGCCGTCGTCGCCCCCCCCCCTCCCCCCCCCTTCACCCTGTCAAATACGATGCGATTCGCGCGGACTTGTTGATCCCAGGTCCGAAGTTGCCAGTAATCCCTTGCGCAATGTGCGACAAAATCGACTGCGCGCGTCGTGGCGCGCGCGTGCCGTCAATGTTCAAAAACCATCGGTTTCGCGCGGGTTTCAGGATCGCGTTCCCCGAGCACGCGTAAAATGCCAGTTGCTCTACCACATCATTTCTCAAACACAACATGCGAGCGTTTGTGCGTTTGCAAGTTCGTCTGATAACGCAGTCGTTTCAACGCCATTGCTTTTTCACCGATTTGACCACGCGGGCCTCTCGCGCGCGCGTCGCAATCATTCGAACGCCGCCGGCCGTTTTTTTTTGTTTGGGGGGGCCCTGTCAAACTCAACAATGCGGACCGCTCGCTCGCGACGGCAGCGCGAGCATGTCAAACCGCCCAAGGCATTCGCCACCGGCGCGCGGACACCATCATCGCCATCGGCGCGACCAGCATCTTCGCCCTCATCGACCTTGCCGTCGTCATCGCCATCATTGTCGCTGTCATCGTCACTGGCATCATCGCATCTGCCGTTGTCGACGTCGCCGCGATGCCGCGCCCGCCCGAGCCACAGACTCGCACTGAAGCTCCCGCGCGCCAGCGCGGCCTGCGAGGCGCGCTGGGAAGTCCCCGGCGGTCGGCGCCACATCGGCCGCGTCGGTCGCGCCAGATTAGCTGGCCCTTTTGCGCGCGCGCTTGCACGCGCTAGCGCGGCCGCGGCGATGCGCCCGGCAGTGCCGAGCAGTCGTCGCAATCGCCGCCGCATGGGTTTTGCAAACCAAGTTGCGGATAGGTTGGTGGGATGATTGCGCGAGCTGTGGAGTCGGCAGTTCACGTTCTTCAACGTGAATCGCGCCCCGCAGGGTTTCCTCGCCAAGGAAATGAACCCAGCGCGACCCCAATTAGGGGAAAGTGTCCTACTGCATGGGTGCACTGCTTGGTATTACTTGGCATGGCTTCGCATATCTTCGAATTGCTTGACATTGCGTCGCATTGCCTGGCATTGCCTAGCATTGCTTGGCATTGGTTAGCATTGCTTGGCATTGCTTGGCATTGTTTGGCAGTGCTTGGCATTGCTTGGGCGGGGGACCCACGGTGCCCGAGGAACCCGAAGAACCCAAGGAACCCGAGGAACCCGAGGAACTGGGGAACCCGAGGAACCCGAGGATCCCGAGGAACCCGAGGAGCCCGAAGAACCCGAAGAACCCGAGGAACCCGAGGAACCCGGGGAATCTCCGGGAAACGGGCAAAGTATCACCTCGAGACACAAGTCTCTTTAACCGCGTAAGAACCCCTTGGGCCAGCCTGGTTGGGGAAAGTTGAGATTGACCACCCACCCCCTCGGGAATTTAGGTTTTCACTCCCTTCTGGGATAGTGCAATTGAGATTCGATTCTGCCCCATCTTTAGATATGTATGAGTTTATGACATCCCAGCCAGGCGCACGCACGCGTTCATTGAAATATATCTCCAAGAAGCCCTTGCGACAAGTGTGACAGAATTCACGCGCGCGCGTCGCAGCGCTTGCATGCCGGCATATATCGAAAAAAACACCGTGGGCTTCGCGTGGATTTCAAGCTCGGGGCTTGCGAACAATATGAACAACCGGCCCATCATTTTTTCGTCAAGTGAGACCGCGCGGACCTCCCGCGCGCGCACGTCGGTCGACATCATTCGGTCGCCCTTGCGCGTTTGCTGGGGGTGGGGCGGGAGGGGCGGGATCCTTGTCAAATAATGCATGGCGGGCCGCGCGCGCGTCGGTCGCGCGCGCATGTCGGCATCCGCCCAAAACCTTCATCGCCGACTCGTGGACATCATCGTCTTCGTCGGCGTGACCAGCATCGGTGCCGTCATTGGCTTTGCAGCAGCTGCGTGAGCTGCTTCGCCCCCCCCCTCCCTTTCGTCCGACCCGGGAGGCCGACACGAGCGTCAAGCCCACGAATGAGGCTCAGCACGATCGTCCTGAGAAGAGGATCGCGTACCAGACGCATCGGGACGTCGAGGACGCGGACGAGCTCGAGGCGCACAAGCAGATCTACCACAGGGCTGGTCAGGTGCTGGGCGAGTCCCAGCACATGCGCCACTCGAAGCACATCCTGCAGTTTGTCATGTCGCACCCACACGGTCCGGTGCTGCCCCACGGCGGGTGCCTGTACCTCCCCAACGACAAGGTCTGGGCGTCGTTCTACCAGCACATGGAGCACCCGGTGCCGACGCTCTTCGGTGATCGGGGCTAATGTAACGGAGGCCCGGGCTTGGGAGCTATACTTCGTAGCCGGCTGGGTTTCGCGACGGGGCCTTGGCCGACCCAGGCTTGTGCTGACCTGGGCGCGTGTGTCCAGAATTAAACAATGTTATAGACATAAATTGTTGGGGGTCCGCCCTGATTTCTTGGATCGACGTTGGACCCCCCCTCCCTCGCGTGCGGCGCGCGCCAGGGGCGGCGCCGGAAGCGCTGCCTGGGGGTCCCAGCGCCGATCCAAACATCCGCGCGGACCGTCGAAAGTTTGTGCTTATGGCATTGTTTGTTCCTCGAGTGCGTGCCCGCGGTGTCTGTGTCGCCGTGGACGTTGTGTCCGCTTGGGACGGACGGCTGCCCTCCCAACAGCGGCCGATGTTGGTTTTGGACAGCATCTGTCGTTGGGCATCGTATTCATCGTTTCCGTACGCGTGCCCCCGAGGTGAGATGATCGCCAATTCGTACTACCCTGGCTGCAATCAGACCTCTGTGTCTGGCCTGAGGCTCCCGTCTTCGTGCGGCCCCGGGTCCATGCAGGGCTCCACGGGCTGCTTCAGCGTGGCCAGGCTTGGCAGCGCAGCGGGCGTCGAGGTCTACGAGACCAGCGGCCACCTCGGGCTGCCAGACAAGTGGTCCTACCACATCCTGGAGGAGGGCGGGTCGAGGCAGTTGCGGTCCTCCCTGGCGTGCTAGCTCGTTGTCCTGCCTGAGCCTCCTCTGGAGGCGTCTCGTCGCCGCGGCGGGGTCCGCGCCGAAGAACTGGTCGGGATGAGAGCGTTTTTGGTTTCCCTCCCCAGGGTAGCGCTCGTTCCCCGGGCCAACGCCTCCCCCCCCCCTCCCCCCTGTGTGACGCTAACGATTGTTCTGGGGGGGGGGGCCTGGACCAGAAATGGGACAAATGACAAACTACAACCAACCATAACAATCAAGTTCAATTGTTTTAGTACTAAGTCCATCCACTTTGGTAGTACTTCCAACCACTTTAGTATGAGTTCCAACCAGCCTCCATGAGAGGTTCGTGGAGGTTCCGGGAGCTTGCTCCATTTCCAGATTCACTTGCTGCACCTCCTTCTCCTCCTCCGCCTCCTTCTTCTCCCCCCCCCTCCTCCTCCTTCTCCTCCACTTCCTCCCCCTCCCCCCCTGCTCCCCCCCCCCTCCTCCTCCCCCTCCTCCTCGCCACCCCCTCCCTTGCTCGCCAGCTCCCTCCCTCAAGCCCTTAAATCCTTGAACCCCTAAACCGTTAAGCCCTTACATCCTTAAACCCCCTTAAACCTTTAAGCATTCCAACTAAACCCCTTAAAGCCTTAAGCCGCTAAACCCTTGAATCCTTCAGCCCTTATGCCCTTGATCCTTAAAATATTTTTTGTTCAAGTCAGTAAGCCCTTAAACACTTCAATCATTGACCTGTTAAACCTTATAACCCTTCTGTCCTTGAACCCGTAAGTCCTCAAGCCCTTACACCTCTTGAACAAATAAACCCCTTAGCCCATTAACCCCTTAAACCCTTAAGTCCTCATTCCGATTCCCTTAAACCCTTACACCCTTGAGCCCTCTAAGCCCTCAATCCTTTGTATCTCTAAACCACTTGAACTCTACAGCCCTTACGTCATTAAGCCATTAAGCACTTGCACCTTTAAGTAAACCATTAGACCCTTAAGTCCTTAAACCCTTGACCTCTCAAACCTTCAAGCACTCAAACCCTCACAACCTTAAACCCTTACGCCCTTAAACCCTCAAGGCCTTAAACCCTTACATCCTTAAACCCTTACTGTGGCATCCCCGGACAAACCTGGGACAACTTCCAACCCAGGCAATCATGTTAGTGCACAAAAGCAGATTAGTTGGTTTCGGGATATACTGGCATCGCCTCACAATACAAGATACTATGCTGAGGTTACTTGGTCAGTTGGAATTCGTTTCGGTTCGTCTTTTCGAGCTGGTTGGAAAAGGTCCGGGTGGTTGGGATAAGTCCCAGTCGGTTTGAATTAGTCACGGATGCGGCCTGGACCCCCCTTACATGCTGTGGTGCGCACAGGCGATTGATGCGCCGGGGGCGCGGACGTACCCTTGCGGGTGTACGCCGCGGCCGCCGTTACCATTACCCTCCCGCGTGAACCCCTCCCCTTCAGGTAACGACCGTTACGCGGGGATGAAAAGTCGGTCACCACGAGTCCCGGGGAGAGGTCCGGGGACTGATTCGCAGCGGGCCTGGGCTGAGCGGGAGTGCCGCCGTTGTCTTCACTCCGCGGCGCGCCCACGGGAGTGAGGCAGGGCGGGCGGGCCCTGTCAGAGGGCTCAGTCAGCCCCTGGCCTTTGCGAGGCTTTCTGAGCCTTCTCTAGATCGGGGGCGGAAAAGAGGGGGGTGATGACTAGGGGGGGGTGGATATCATGGCGGGGGCCATGATTTTTCCCCAGATGTTATGGCGCCTCTTCTTGTTTCATTACGTCCCTGGCCCCCCCGCTGGGCCGCGCACTTGCCGCCGGTCATGATTTGCACCCCCTCCTCTTGGACACTCCCCTCTTGGCCGCTCCCGACTAGAGGCACGGGTGGCTTCCAGAAGGCGCGAGGGCTTCGCGAAGCCCCACCGCCTTTGAGGAGGCCTGCCCTCCTCTCACTTCCTTGCCTCTCGGCGTGCCCCCGAGTGTTTGGCCCTCCTCCGGACATCGCGCACACGCAGCCGAAGCACCTCAGGAGGTCCAAGGAGGGCGGCAACTGGGGGAGCAAGTGCGGCCGCGAGCTGCCCGAGGTGCCCCAGGCCGAGAAGGAGGAGGAGGAGGCGGAGGAGGAGGAGGAGGAGGAGGAGGAGGAGGAGGGAAGGGGAGGGGAGGGAGGGGAGGGGAGGGGAGGGAGGGGAGGGGAGGGGAGGGGGGGGAGGGAGGAGGAGGAGGAGGAGGAGATGGAGGGAGGAGGGGGAGGAGGGGGAGGAGCAGCAGCAACAGCAAGACGCCAATCCTAGGCGTCAAGTCCGCTCAACGTCAAAAGCAGCAGCAGCAGAAGGAGGAAGAGGTGGAGCAGGAGGAGGCGGAGAAGGAGGATGAGGAGGAGGAGGAGGAGGAGGAGCGACACTACGAAACGCATCTTCCCGCCCCCATAGGATCCTAACGCGGGCTGGCTTTGTGCCTCCGTCCGCATGTCCTCTTTCAACTTGATATGATAATTCCTCAAACTGTGCTTGCACTTAGGGTGCTTTCTTCTCTTCAAACGAACTAAGCCTGTCTGCCGCTCTGGCGGCCATGTGGCCGCCGTCGCCGCCCCGTCGCCGCCTCGTCAGCGCCCCTGTAGCCGCCTAGATTGCACAGCATAGACTGCACCACATCGTTCGCACAATATTCATGTGGCTCGTGGCCCATAGGGGGCTCCACCTAAGGCCCGAGTGGCTGCGCTCGCATGCGGGCTCCCCGCCCATTTCGGCACACCTCTCTTACGCTTCGTGGCTCCATAGGGGGCTTCACAGAAGGCCCCAGTGGCTGCGCTCGCATGCGGTTCCCCGCCCTGTCCTGCACACACCTCATACGTTTCGTGGTCCCATTGCAAGCTCAACCTAAGGCCTCAGTGGCTTCGCTCGGACGCAGTTCCCCGCCAATTTCGGCACACCCCTCACACGTTTTGTGGCCCCATAGGCCATAGGGAATTGGAGGAGGAGGAGGCGGAGGAGAAGCGTGGGAAGTGGGGGGAGGGGGAGGGGGACATAAACGGATGAGACTGATAATACGGACGAGGATAATAATGATGATGGTTCTATAGGCTTACGCCACATCCTCCGACCACTCTATAAAATACTGCGCCTCCAGGACTGCATTCCACGAGGCTTGTCCGAATCATGCAGGGTCTTGGGGGCCGTTTTGGGGCTTCTTTGGGCCTCTTGGGGTTCCTTGGAGCCTCTTGGGTGCCTCATGGGGGCCTCTTGGGGCCGCTTGGGGGCCTCCTTGGTCTTCCGGAGAGCTTCGTTGGGCGGAGCGCTGGAATGGTCCTTCTCTTGGGCCATTTTTGGGGCCGTCTTGGAGCTCGCTTGGGCCGTCTAGGGCGCCTCTTGGGCCACGTTGGAGTTCTTTTGGGTTGTCTTTGGGGCCTCCTGGGAGCCTCAAGGGCCGTCTTGGGGTGGTCCTGGGGGCCTCGTGGGGGCCTCGTGGACGGCTTTCAACGCCGTGAAGACTAGCAAGTTGGATATGCTGAGCATGCACGTTTTCCCCAGGAATTTTCAGGATTTTGGTTTCATGGGGGCTTCTTGGGAGTCCTCTTGAAGGCTTCGTGGGGTGTCTTGGCGGCCTCTTGGGCCGTTGTAAGCTCATCTTGGGCGTCTTGGAACGACTTTCGGCGACTTTGGGTTCTCGTGGACCGTCTTGGTGGCTTCTTGGGAGGCGTCAGGTGCTGTCGTGCAGCTGAAGAGCGAGCCCAGGGAGCCCAGACCGCCCCGGGTGAGTTCGGTCCGGGGCCACCCGGGGCCAGGGGGAGGTCAAAATCCCGGCTTGGGGTTTGGGGTCCCCGGGGGGGATTATGGGGGGGCAACAATCTCACACGCTTGGAGACCTGCAAGGGGTCGGCGGATTCAGTGGTGGTGGTGGTGGCGATGATGACGATGTTGGTCATGATGTTGATGTTCATGATGTCGACGACGACGACGATGACTATGATGATGATGATGACAACGATGTTGTTGTTGCTGCTGCTGATGATGATGATGATGAACACCATGAACATGATGAACATTATAATGATGATGATGATGATGATGATGATGATGATGATGATGATGATGATGATGATGATGATGAAGTTGGTGATGGTGATGATGATGGTGATGATGTTGGTAATGGTGATAGTGGTGATGGTAATGATGGTGATGGAGATGGTGATCGTGATGACGGTAATGATGAGGATGAGTGCAATGTTGACGATGATGATGATGATGATGATGATGATGATGATGATGATGATGATGACGAGGATGGTGATGATGTTGAGGATGATGATGACAATGGGGCTGGTGATGATGACGATCATGATGATGTTGACGATGATGCTGATGATAGTGATGCTGATGCTGATGCTGGTGATGATGCTGAACATGATGCTGATGTGATGGCGTCGATGGCGGTGATAAGACCGACGATAATGTTGATGATGCTGTTAATGATGATGTTGATGGTGCTGGCGGTGGTGATGATGGAGTGATGCTGATGACGCTGATGATGCTGTTGATGATGAGTGTGATGATGATGCTGGTAAGAAGGGTTATGCTGATGCTCATGCTGTCGATTATGATGATGCAGGTGACGATTGAACATGAGCATGGCGATGATGATGACGACGATGATGGTGATACTGGTGATGATGATGATGATGATGATGATGATGATGATGATGATGATGATGATGGTGATGATGATGATGATGATGATGATGATGATGAAGATGATGAAGATGATGCTGGTGGTCGTGGTGGTGATGATGATGATGATGATGATGGTGGTATTGATGATGTTGTTGATGATGAGGATGAGGAGGAGGAGGAGGAGAGGGAGAAGGATGGGGAGGAGGATCTGCTGCTGCTGATGATGATGCTTGGCATGAGCAACGCGGAGGGTGTCCGAGGCTCACAGGCTGGAGATCCCGACGAGGTACGTGGTGTGCCAGAAGTCGGACGCCGACCAAACCATCACCGAGGACTTGGACGGGGCCGCGGGCACGGCAGTCATCGGGGGCAACGGGGTGTGTGGGGGGGATTTGCCGAAGAGTTTCGGATGTTCTCGGAGGTGTTCGACGTTGTTCCGAGGTTCTCGTTGGTTGTTTTTGTAGTTTTTTGTGTGGCTCAGGGTGGTTTCCACCAGCTGCGTCTCGTCGAGAGCATTTCGGGGGCCAGGGAGCCGTCTTACGGCCCGACAAGCAGGCGCGACGCAGACGCACGGTGGCGGGCGGATACAGGAGAGGGAACGGGGAGGAGATTGCGGGAGATACCATAAGTATTTGGCAGACGATGTTGATGATTGTGTTGATGATGATGATAATGATGTTGATGATGATGATGATGATGATGATGACGATGATGATGATGATGATGATGATGATGATGGTGATGATGATGCTAATGATGATGATTGTGACGCTGTTGATGATGAGAATGCTGATTGTGATGCTGCTGATGATGAATGCTGATGATGCTGATACTGGTGGTGATGATGATGCTGACGAGGATGAGGATGAGGATGAATACGATGGTGATGATGATTAGGATTATGAAAATGATGGTGTCGGTAATGATGGCGGTGGTGGTGATGATGCTGCTGATGTTGGTGGTGACGCCGATGGTGATGATGATGATGATAATGGTGGTGATCATGATGGTGTTGATGATGTAGTGATGATGGACATGGTGATGAAGATGATGATTTTGGTGCTGATGATGAGGGTGATTATGGTGATGAGGATGGTCATGATGATGATGAGCATGTTGAGGATGATGATGCTGATGATGCTGATGATGAGATTGGTGAGGGTGATGATGATGATGATGATGATGATGCTGACGATGCTGATGCTGCTGATGATTATGGTGATGATGCTGCTGCTGATGATGATGATGATGGTGTTGATGATATTGGTGACGATGATGAGGACGACGGCGAATCCGATGGTGATATTGATGATGACGATGATGCTGATAATGATGATGATGATTACGATGACGATGGCGATGATTATGACCACGATGATGATGGTGATGATAGCAAATGTGATTGGTGGTGGGGGCGGCTGTGGTGGTGTTGATGATGGTGGTGATGATGGTGATGCTTCTGCTGCTGATGATGATAATGGCAATCATGATGATGGCGATGATGTTGATGATAATGAGGATGCTAATGATGATCTTGATGGTGATGATGTTTTTTCTGCTGATGCTGATGATGGTGATGATGATGGTGGTGATGGTGGCCTCGCCTGGCGCCCGGCCGCGGCCCTACGCCGAAGGAGCACGTGAGGGAGCAGAACAGGTGGGCCAACGAGGCTTTCCGCGGCAAGTCGCCCTGGAAAGAGATGAGCTTCGATGCCGCGCACCCGGCCTCCGTGGACACCTCCCCGCGGAGGAGGAGGAGGAGGAGGAGAGCCCTGGACATGCTCGCATCGTCAAAGAGATCATTACGGCGCTTTTCGCCGTAGTCGGCCTCCAGAGGCCCTCGCCGGGCCTCGGGAGCGCCAAACAACGACCTGGGATGAAAGACCGGCCCGGGGGAAAGGGTCCAGGCTTGCGGGCACCGCGTGTTAACAAAATCAGGACATCGCATTTCTGGGTCCTGGCCTCCCACATTGGGACCAGCGGAGATGGGGTCGGGGGATTCTGCCGCGTCGTCGATGCAGCGGCGATGCGGCGCGATCCGGAGCGACTCTCCCCGTCACGGCGTCGCTGGGTGCGTCGGCGATGCACCGGCGATGCGGTGCGATGCGCCGACCCGGCCTGTTGTGGCCCCATGTGGGAGGCCTTCGCAGAGGGCCTCCGAGGTTTCCGATTGTCCTTCTGTGTATTTTTCTGACGGCCTCGGCGGGATTCGGCGGCTGAGCGGCTGTCTGCGGTTTCCAGGAGTTCCGGATGGTTCTTGATGATTTCCCGGGTGCTCGGATATTTTTCCCCAAATAGTGCTTGCACTTAGGGTGTTTTGCACACTTGTTTGGAATTGGGTGGGTAACCCGAGACATAGCCCGACATAGCTTGCACCACACCGCTTGCATCTCCTACCTTGCACCACATCCCTTCCACCACGTAACTTGCATCACATAGCCTGCACCTCATAGCTAGTATCACAGAGCTTACACGTGCACAGTGCAACAACTTATTCAAGGTGACTTAGGCCATTTCGCCAACCCCCAGAATGAGTCAGTTTTCGTGACGATCGTGGAAGGTATCGAAGACGCCTATGGCGAATCACCGACGACCCCTGCCTTTTGGAATCGCCCATGTGGCCGAGTGTTGTGGCAAGAGCTCTCCTCCGTGGGCCTCTCGGGGGCTTCTTTGCCCATCTTAGGGCGTTCTTGGCCAGTCTGACACCGTCGGAAGCCGTCTTGGGGAGCCTCTGGGACGACTTGGGACCCTCTTGGGGTGCTCCAGAGCCGTCTTGGAGGCCATCTTGGGCGTCTTGGAGGCCTCTCAGGCCGTCTTGGGGCCATCTTGGAGGTGTCTTGGGCGATCTTGCGGCGATCATTGGGGTCTCTTGGGCCGTCTCGGGCCGTCGGAAGACCGAAAAGAAGCAAATGTCAACATCCTTCAAAAAGCTACGGAACATCAATGATGTTGGCCTCTTCGGGCCTTCCTGGAGGCCCTCTTGCGGGCCTCTAGGGGGCATCTTGGACCATCTTGAAGCCATCGTGGGCCGTCTTGGGTGCATCTGGGGCCATCTTGAGTGCATATTGGGCTCTCTTGGGACCGTCATGGCAGTCTTGGAGGCGTCTTGGAGGCATTTTTGGGGCAGTCTTGGGCCATCTTGGCCGTCTTAGAGGCGATCTGGGCAACAGGAGATGAACTTTGGGAACCTTTCCGAGTGGAAAGGCGCGCTGGGCCGAAGTTTCAGGGGGAGTTCTCTGAGAGGAAGAACCAAAATCAAGCTGCGTAGGATTTAGCATGCCAGGCCCCCCTGCGGCAAGCCAACAGGGGGCGGCGGATCGAAGACGCCTACTGCGAATCACCGCCGCCCCTGCCTTTTTGGAAGCGCCTATGTGGCCGAAGGTTGTGGCCAGAGGCAGGCCTGCCAAGCTATCGGACCATGTGTTCCCCGAATCGGTTTGGAAAGCCGTCGGGGAACACGTGGGCATCTTGAAGGTCCTCTTGGCCTTTCGGGCCTTCTTGGAGGACGTCTTGGAGGGCTCTTAGGCCGTCTTGGAAGCCATCTTGAGCGTCTTGGAGGCCTCTTGGGCCGTCTTGGGGGCCTCTTGGGGCCGTCTTGGGCCTCTTGGGCGATCTTTGGGGGCACTTGGGTCGTCTCGGGCCGTCGGAAGGCCGAACAAAAAGCAAGTGCCACAATCCATCACATACTCATGGGGAATCAATAATTTTGGCCTTTTCGGGCCATCCTGGAGGCCCTCTTGGAGGCCTCTTGGGCCATCTTGGGCCGTCTCAGTGCCATCTTCGGCCGTCTTGGTGGGCCCCTGGCCCGTCCGACGCCGTCGAACGCCGTTGGGGGGGCCTCTCTGAGCCGACTTGGGGCCCTCTTGGAATGCTCGAGGGCCGTCTTGGAGGCCATCTTGGGCGTCTTAAAAGGCATCCTGGGCCGTCTTGGGGGCCTCTTGGGGCCGTCTTGGGGGCCTCCGGGGCCGTCCTGGGGCCATCTTGGAGGCCTCTTGGGCGATCTTTCGGCGATCTTTGGGGGCTCTTGGGCCGCATCGGGCCGTCGGAAGGCCGAAACGAAGTAAATGTCAAAATCCTTCAAAAACCTACGGAAAATCCGTATTGATCGCCGTTTCTGGCCTTCCTGGAGGCCCTCTTGGAGGCCCTCTTGGGCCGTCTTGGGCCAGCTTCGTGCCAACTTCGGCCATCTTGGTGGGCTCCTGGCCCGTCTGACGCCGTCAGAAGCCGTTCGGGGAGCCTTTCTGGGCCGACTTGGGGCCCTCTTGGGGTGCTCCAGGGCAGTCTCAGAGGCCATCTTGGGCGTCTTGGAGGCCTCTTGGGTCGTCGTTGTGTCCTCTTGGGGCCGTCTTGGGGGCCTCTTGGGCAGTCCTGAGGCCATCTTGGAGGCCTCTTGGGCAGTCTTGGGGCGATCTTTGAGGCCTCTTGGCCCGTCTAGGGCCGTCGGAGAGCTGAAAAGAAGAACAAGCGAAAATCATCAAAAAACTTAAGGAAAATCAATTGTTTTCGCCCTTTCGGGCTCTGGAGGACGTCTTGGAGGGCTCTTGGGCCGTCTTGGAGGCCTCTAGCCTCTAGCGGGCCTTTTGGGCCGTCGTAGACCATCTTGAGGCCATCTTGGGCCGTCTAGGGTGCATCTTGGGGCCATCTTAGCCGTCTTGGAGGCCATCTTGGGCCGTCCAGGAGACGTCTTGGAGACCACCCTGGGCCATCTTGGCCGTCTTGGACGCAATCTTGGGCCAACTGGAGGAAACAGAGGCACGACGGATGCGTTTTGAGATCCTTCCCGGGACCCCGTCGGGACGTGACGAAGCCCCAGGGGGATTTCTTTTGGAAAAAGAAGCAAAACCAAAAGCGATATCGTTCGGCACGCCAGGCACGTCTTTTTGATAAATCAAAAGGGGGCGGCGGATCTACTGGCCTTCGGACCAACCCGCCACCGTGCCTGGGCTGTGGGTCAAAATTTTGGGCCGGGGTCCCCAGAGAGTCCTCAGGATTGAGGAAGGAGGCTTCGAGGTTTGGGCAAAGGACCCGAGGACACGCCCACTCCGTGGCCAGCGGCACGGTGGCCGACATTGATGGACGTACACCGAATGCATTTTTTTGTCCATAGGACGGTGAGGGTTGGGTCGGGCGGCTGCGCACCGCGCAATACTCGTCGCGTAGAATGGTGAGGGTCGGGTCGTCTAGGTGTGCGCCGAAACGTGTGTGTACATAGAATGATGGGCGCTGGGTCGTGGATTTTTATATTTTGTCCAGGATGGTGAGGGTTTGATCGCGTGGATGCGCGCGGCGTTACGGCGGGAGCCACATTTCTGAAAAGGAGCTTGTTTCCATCTTTGAAAGTGTCGTAGATTTTCTGAAACGACTGAACGGGGCGCTAAGGCGAGAACCGCATTTTGACAAGGAACCGGCCTCCATTCTTGAACTTGTCGCATGTTTTTACACGAATGCGCGGCGCCTGGGCGAGAGCCCGATTTTGAAAAAGAGCGGGCCTCCATCCTTGAAGATGTCGCCAATGTTTAACACGAGTGTGCGCGGCGCTGGGGCGAGAGCCACATTTTTTAAAAGGACCTTGCCTCCATCCTGAAGGCTACTGCAGCTCTAAAGTTTCAGGATTATAACTGGCGATATTGTCTGAGGCGAAACGCCCGGCCCGTCCCACGGACACATCCAGTGGTGCGAATTGGAGGGGGGAGTTACCCAGAAAGGAAAAGGAGTTGAAGGAGACGGAGGAGGAGGAGAGGAGGAGGAGGAGGGAGGCGACCTGGGCGCAACCCCTCGCCACAGGGCGTGCCAGACTCCAGGCCAGGCAGGGCCCCAAACGGGACCCTGCGTGGTGGTCGCCGCCTAGGATCCCCGCGTGGTCAACGTGCCAGGGGGAGGGGCAACATTGTTCTTCCCTATGAGTTTTTCTTCTCTCCCCCCCCCTCCACCCCCTCTCCCCCCCTCTCCCCCCCCCCTCCCCCCCAGCTGCGTCGTTGACAGACCGCAGGGCAACCAGCGGCAGCAACAGGAGGAGGGAGGAGGGAGGTCGGTCGGAAGCGAGCATGGACGGCAGGGCGTATTCATGTTCGAAGATGGTCCCCTCCTGAAAGCTCGCAACAAATAGCAGACGAGGAGGGAGGAGCGAGAGGAGGAGGAAGACGAGGAGGAGGAGAGAAAAGGGAGAAGGGAGGAGGAGGAGGGAGGGGAGAGGGGGGGAGGAGGCGCGGGGTGGGGGGAGTGGTAGGAGGGAGAGGAGGCAGAGGATGCTTGTTCCTTACGGGCGGGCGGAGACTGTGCCAAGGATGGTGGGTGTCTAGTGAGTCTGGTGTGTCTTTTCGTGGCCTGTCAGTGCTGGGGTAGGCCGCGTACTCTTCAGTTCAGGACATGCAGATCAGCTTCAAGCTCGTGAACATCTCTATCGTGACCGACATCGCGTGTGCCCGCCAGGGGTTCACGAACACGCAGCTGATGCACAAGTACAACCAGCACGCGGAGGACTTCTTCACCGTCGTCATCATCACGAACGACCAGTCTGGCGTCCTGGGACAGACTGAGTTCCCGCATTCTTTGGAAGAGGACGACCCGGAGAACATGGTCGTGGTGTCGTCCGTTGGGTTCCGGGGCGACGCCTCCAGGTACAACGGGGACATGATGTACGACGAGGGGGACACCGTGGTGCACGAGGCTGGCCATGGATTTGGCTTGCGCCCCGGGGCAATCTTCGAAGAAGAAGAAGAAGACATCCACCATTCCGAAGGGCCGTGCGGATTTCTTGGGTCGGCGCTCCGCCCCTGGCGCGCTCAGCGCGCCAGCGAGGGGGACTTCCGACAGCTTACGCTTTTGCTACTGGCTCTTGTCCCAGGTGTCGCAATCCTCCTACCCCATCCTGGGCGAGGAGGAGGAGGAGCAGGAGCAGAAGTAGCAGGAGGAGGAGGCGTTCGATGGCAAACATGCGTGATGATGGTTATGACGAGGATAATGCTGATTAGGATAATGCTGATTAGGATGATATCAATGCTGATGGTGATGATGATGGCGATGCTGCAGCTGCTGCTGCCGATGATGATGATGCTGATGATGATGATGATGATGATGATGATGCTTATGATGATGCTGATGCTGATGATGAAGATGATGCTGCTGATAATGATGATGACGATGATGGTGATGATGCTGATTATGATGATGGTGGTGGTGATGATGACGGTGCTGATGGATAAAAGAAGATGATGAGGACGCTGATGATGTTGATGTCGGTAATGATGTTACTGGTGATGATGAGGATGATGATGATGCTGATTGTGTTGATGCTGATGATGATGAGGCGGATGATGAATATGATGATGATGATGATGATGATGATGATGATGATGATGATGATGAAGATGAAGATGAAGATGAAGATGATGATGACGACAGTGAGGAGAAGGAGGAGGAGGATACGGAAGGACGAGGAGTATGGAGAGAAGTACATGGAGAATGCGGAACACATGTTGAGGAGGAGAAGGGGGATAGATGATGGAAGGAACAGGTGGGGGATGGCAGGGGAGGGAGGAGGAGCAGGAGGGATGAGCAGGAGGGGCTGGTGTAGGAATACTCCAACGTCCAGCTCGTTGTTGTTGTAAGCGTGGGCCCCACCAACTCTCTGGACCTCTTCCTGGGACATGTTTTTCATTTTCACCCAGGGTTGTTTTTGATCGTTCCTGGGACCGATATATATATATATATAAATATAGAGAGAGATATAAGTACCAGAAGGTAGCACTTCACAGCAGCTTCTGTTTTGTTTTGTCCAGGACGGTGTGGGGGGAGGAGGAGGAGAAGAAGAGGATGACAGAAGACGAGGATGGGCTTAGGAGGAAGTGGGAGAGCGGAGGAGGGCGGAGGAGGAGGAGGAGGAGGAGGAGGAGAAACAGGAATTGGAGGCGTCGCTCGGTGGGCTTGGCTGTCGTGACCCTCAAATGGCTTGGTCAACTGAGCTCGGCCGAGTGGTGGGTCTCATATCGATGAAAGCTCCTTGAGAACGTTCAGCGAACACCCCCAAGGGCTTGATGATTCTCGTCCTCTGGACTTACGGGATCGAGCCAGGCACATCGATGGAAGTCGACGTAATCCGATGCAAACCCATACTAAGTGAGGAACATCCAGAGATATCCAGAGACATGTGGATGAGCCGTGGAAGACCCAGCGCGGGCCGAGGAAAAGCAGGCCGTCGTGAAGTTTTCGCCGTAGATACGCACGAGACGACTCAGATCCGCCCGTCCAGGTACCACACCTTCGAGGGCAGCTGCATGGGGCAAGGCGACTACGTCGATGACACACAGGAAGAGTCGATGCCGCACTACGACTGCGTCAGCGACCGCTCCTGCGGTGGCGGCATGGATCCGGTCTGGAGAGGGGCAGCCGATGAGGAGGAGGAGAAGGAGAAGGAAGTGGAGGAGGAGGAGGAGAAGGATGAGGAGGTAGATGACGAGGAGGAGGAAGATGAGGATGATTAAGATGAGGATGTGGATGAGGAAGACGAGGAGTGGGCGGAGGATTAGAATGAGGAGGAGAAGGAGGAGCAGCAGAAGGAGCAGAAAAGCAGCAGAAGAGAGCTGGCAGATGGCGCCCCCCCGCCGCCCAATCATACCCCCATCTCCCAAGGTACACGTCATGACGGAAGATGTCTGGGCCGGTCACCTGCCGACGCTGTCTTGCGTCTCAATGAGGGGCATTTTGTCCCTGGCATGTGCATACGCCACTGCGGCCAATTTACATCGTACCGCGCCCCGGACGTTGTGCCCGCTCCCTGTCCCTCGCCTTGGAGCCGCGAACCAAAAAAGTATCCCCCCGAGCCCATCCAGACACGGTCGGATGTTTTTGTTGAGACCTCCTGGAGGCTACCGTGAGCCATGTTCGGCTAGAGGTTGTCGGAGGCTATCCTGAGCCATGGCCAGCTATCCTGGACAGTCTTGTGGCTGTCTTGAGGCATCTTGGAGGTCTGTGGGAGGCTATATTCAGCCATGCTCGACCTCGTGGGACCATCTTGGGGGTAGGAGGATGAAGAGGAGGAAGAAGAGGAGGAGGATGAAAAAAGAGAGGAGGAGAAGAAGGAGGAGGAAACAGAGAGAAGGAGGAGGAGGAGGAGGAGGAGGAGAAGGAGGAGGAGGAGGAGGAGGAGTGCGGCACGAGGAAGATGAGGAGGAGGAGGAGGAGGAGGAGGAGGAGGAGGAGGAGGGAGGAGGCAGAAAATGAGGATGGAAGGAACGGGCGATGACAAGGAAGATGAGAGAATCGGGCTTTGGAGGTATGTTGTTGTGGAAGGTTCTTGAAGGACGACGAAGGCCATCTTAGGGGCTCTCTTAGGATCCTCTGTGGGCCCTCTTGGGGCTCATTTTGGGGGTCTTGGGGCCCTCTTGGGGCTCCTTGTAGGGGTCTGGGAGGCCTCTTGGGCCCCATGGCTCAAACATGGGGGGCAAATGAATCTAGGCCCCGCCGGAGGCTCAAAAAGGGCCGTCTTGGGACCCTCTTGGGCCGCTCTTGGAGCCAGCCTGGGACGTTCTTGGGGCTCTCTATGGCCGTCTTGGGGCCAGCCTGAGGACTCAAGATCCCACCGGAAGCGAAAAGGCGAGAAGACAAACAAACATTGATTTTCCTTCGGTTTTTGAAGGAGGTCCTTGGAGGGCTCGGAGGGCACTTGGAACCGTCTGGGGACCGTCTTGAGGCCTCTTGGATGTGTGACGGAGGCTATCTCGAACCATCTTCAGGTATCTTGAGCCATCTTGGAGGCCATCTTGGGCTCTCTGAGGCCTTCTTGGAGCCATCTTGGGCGCTCAAACTACCCGCGGCCCCCCCCCTCCCAGTCCAAGGGGAATTGGGGAAGGGTAAACCCCTCCCCCGAGCAGGGGAAGGAGGGGTTTTGGCAGAGAGAGAGAGAGAGAGAACAGACAAAGTTTGTTAAACCACCTATTCCCAGAGGGCTGGTGGGATTTTCAACCGTCTAGGGCCCTTTTGAGGGCCCCGTGGCAGTCTCAAACCACTCAATTGTTTTTCTTACACCGTTGTCGGGATGAGACGTGTCACGCCTGTGCTTCCTCGGCAATGCATGGTTTCGCGTTCTTGTGCAATGCATAACCACATGTTGGCACTCAGAGTGCGGTTGGACCAATTGGTTATGTTCGCCCCGTTTTCAGGGTCACACATGTAACCTCAGCGTTTCTTCGGCAATGCATGGTCTTTTTTGTTTTGCAATGTACGGCTGTATACTGGCAGCCGTCGGACGACTTGACCAGTTGGTTTGTCTCAGACTTGTCCCGGGGTGACACGTAACACTTTAGTGTTGTTTCGGCAATGCATGGTCCCATGCTGTTTTTTGTCCACGCATGACTAAATTTTGGCAGTCATGATGCGAGTTGTCAGACTGTGTGTTCTCACAGCGTCTTCGGGGCGACACGTGCCACCTCTGCGTTTCTTCGTCAACGTTGTTTTCGTTTTCAATGTATGGCCACATGTTGGCATTCAGAAACATGAGTGGGCCAACTCGTGTATCTCACACCGTGTTCGGGTTGACGCGTGTGTCACCCTCCGTACTTTCTCGGCAATGCATGGCGCCCTGAAGGTATTATTTTTTTATCTGGCAATGTGCGACTATATGTTGACACTCAGGGTACGAGTGGACCAAACGGTTTTCGCTTCGTTTGTCTCACAGTGGTTTCGTGGTGACACGAGTCACCTGGGTGCTTCCTCGGCAACGTATGGACTCTATGATTCGGCCATGTGCGACTTCATGTTGGCACTCATAGTGCGAGTGGACTAATTGGTTGTTCTCACAAATGTGTTGGGGCCACCTTTGTGCTTCCTCGGCAACGCAATCGTGCGTCGTCCTCGGTCGTCCTCGTCGTCGTCGTTGTCGTCGTTGTCGTCGTCGGGTATGGCGGACCTTCGCAGCATCCCACCCCCCCACACCCTCCATGAGGCATCCGCAGTGGCGCGCGTTGTCGTCGTATCGTCGTCGTCGTCGTCGCCCATCGTCCGTCGTCCGTTGTACGTCGTCCGTTGTCCGTCGTCCGTCTTCGTCGTCGTCATCGTCATCGTCGTCGACTACGGCGGACCCTTGCAGCCCCCCCCCCGTGGGGCATCCGCAGCGGAGCGCGTCGTCGTCGTCGTCGCCGTCGCCGTCGCCGTCGTCGACTACCGTCGTCGGCTACCGTCGTCGACCACGGCGGGCCCTCGCAGCTGTTTTCGGGGTGCACGGGGGTTACAATTTTTCAATCCACCCCGCCCATGCCGCTCAAACGATGCCAGGGAATCGGCGGGGCCAGCCCCCGACCGCCTCTGCCTTTCCCTCGCATGACGGCACCTATTCGACATCCATAACCAGGGATTCCTCCTCCCCCTATGGACTTATCAAAGCCCACGAAGTCTTTGACGGCAATGAATACAACACTGATTATGAAAGAGAATTTCAACAGCGCGCTCTGTCTGACTCAAGGGCCCTGCCGCAATCCTGGGCCGAAACGGTTACGGGCTCGTGCTATACAACACACACGCACGAGCATGCACACTAGATGTACAGCGTATATCTCACACCCGTGAAAGAGTGAAACCACATGAAACAGAGAGAAGCCTTCCTTCAATCTCAAATAAACCAAATCCAAATTACGCTACCGAGGAACCCCACATACTTAACTTAAATCTTGTGTGTTTGCTTAAGTTTATAATATATGCGCAATTCTGCGTTCTCAGCCCTCGTCGCGAATGGTCCCCTATGTGTCATCCAACGCCATATTGCTTGAACCTCCTCCCTCTTCCTAGCCTTCTATCCTCCGTCGAGGACAGATTCGAGCCAGCCAGCGGCCGCGGTGAGGGACCACCCCCTGCACACCCTCGATGGTGTCGAGAAAGTGCCACGCCTGCGATGCCCTGGACGACCGTCGTGCGTAGCGGCCGCGGTGAGGGACCCCCCCCTGCGCAGCCTCTATGGTGTCGAGAAAATGCCGCGCCTGCTATGCCCTGGACGACCGTCGTGCATAGCAGCCGCGGTGAGGGACCACCCCCTGCGCACCCTCTATGACGTCGAGAAAGTGCCACGCCTGCTATTCCCTGGACGACCGTCGTGCATAGCGGCCGCGCTGAGGGACCACCCTCTGCGCACCTCCTGTGGTGCCGAGAAAGTGCCACTCCTGACACGATTTGCGAGCGTGTCACGGATAGAGGCCGCGCTGAGGGACCACCTTCTGCGCACCCCCTGTGGTGTCGAGAAAGTGCCACTCCTGCCAAGATCTGCGAGCGTGTCACGGATAGAGGCCGCGCTGAGGGACCACCCTCTGCGCACCCCCTGTGGTGTCGAGAAGTGCCACTCCTGCCACGATCTGCGAGCGTGTCACGGATAGAGGCCGCGCTGAGGGACCACCACCCTCTGCGCACCCCCTGTGGTGTCGAGAAAGTGCCACGATCTGCGAACCGCGCTGCGCGCATGTGGCGTCGAGAAAGTGCCACGCGCCACGCGCGAGCGTGTCACGGATAGAGGCCGCGCTGAGAGACCACCCTCTGCGCACCCCCATGTGGTGTCGAGAAGGTGCCACTCCTGACACGATCTGCGAACGTGTCACGGATAGAGGCCGCGCTGAGGGACCACCCTTTGCGCCCCCTCATGTGGCGTCGAGAAAGTGCCGCGCCTGCCACGCCCTGCGAGCGTGTCACGGATAGAGGCCGCGTTGAGAGACCACCTTCTGCGCCCCCCCAGTGGTGTCGAGAAAGTGCCGCGCTTGCCACGCCTTGCGAGCGTGTCACGGATGGAGGCCCCGCTGAGGGACCACCTTCTGCGCCCCCCCAGTGGTGTCGAGAAAGTGCCGCGCCTGCCACGCCTTGCGAGCGTGTCACGGATAGCGGCCGCGCTCAGGGGCCACCCCCTGCGCACCCCTTGTGGTGTCGAGAAAGTGCCACGCTTGCTGTGCCTGGACGACTGTCGTGCATAGCGGCCGCGGTGAGGGACCACCCCCTGCGCACCCTCTATGGTGTCGAGGAAGTGCCACGCCTGTCACGCCCTGCGAGCGTGTCACGGATAGAGGCCCCGCTGAGGGACCACCCTCTGCGCACCCCCTGTGGTGTCGAGAAAGTGCCGCGCCTGCCACGATCTGCGAGCGTGTCACGGATAGAGGCCCCGCTGAGGGACCACCCTCTGCGCACCCCCTATGGTGTCGAGGAAGTGCCACGCCTGCTCGCCTGCCGCATGGCTTGCCGTGTGTATGTGTATGATGCGTGTGCGGCCATATCGGGACATATCTCGCGTGTTGCCCAGTATGTCGTGCAGACGTCTTGGGTGTATGATGCAGTGAACATGCGCCTTGTATGTGCGAATGTGTGCATGCGTGCGGCTGTGTGCGAGTGTGTGGGTGAGGAGGCG